GAGAGAGAACAACAGCATGAACCAGTACCTTAGCCGCGTCCGGCGTTAGATATGGGTGGATGCGCGCTATGTTCTTGAGTTGGAAGCGACAGGATTTGGCTATCGATTGGACATGGGGAGTAAAAGAGAGTTCAGAATCAAAAATAACCCCTAGGCAGCGAGCCTGCGGGGTAGAGGTGATAGTAGCGCCGTTGACTTGGATGGAGACAGACACAGGAGTAGCAGCCCTTGAGGGAGGAAAAACTAGAAGTTCTGTTTTGGACAGGTTGAGTTTAAGGAAGTGAGTAGCCATCCAGTCGGAAATTGTAGAGAGGCAGTCAGAAACACGAGTCAAGGTGGGCGGAGAGAGATCAGGGGAGGACAGGTAGATTTGCGTGTCATCTGCATATAAATGATATTGGAAGCCAAAGGAGCTGATGAGTTTGCCAAGGGAGGCAGTATAGATAGAGAACAGTAGGGGGCCGAGGACAGAACCTTGTGGGACGCCGACAGAGAGGGGTTGGGGAGAAGAGGCAGAGCCAGAGAAAGAAACACTGAAAGAGCGCTGGGAGAGGTAGGAGGAGCACCAGGAGAGAGCAGTATCCCGTAGACCAAAGTTACGGAGAATGTGAAGAAGCTGTTGATGATCAACAGTGTCAAAGGCGGCAGAAAGATCATGGAGGATTAGGATAGAGTATTGGCCGCGAGATTTAGCAGCAATTAAATCATTGGATACTTTGGTCACAGCAGTTTCAACAGAGTGACCAGCGCGGAATCCAGACTGAAGGGGGTCAAGCAGAGAGTTGGATTCGAGAAAGTCTGTCAATCTGGCTTACACAACTCTCTCTAAGGTTCTTGGCGGCAAATGGCAGTAGCGAGATAGGGCGGTAGTTGGATGGGGAATTGGGATCAAGGTTGGGCTTTTGCAGAATCGGGGTTACAGTTGCATGTTTGAAGGGTGAGTGAAATGTGCCAGAGGAAAGGGAGAGATTGAAAATGTTAGTAAGAGGAAGAGCAAGAGAGGGAGACAAAGTGCGGATGAGATGCGATGGAATAGGATCGAGGGAGCAGGTGGTGGGGCGGGAGGACAGGAGCAGAGCAGAAACCTCTTTTGCTGTAGCAGGTGCAAATGAGCATAGGATGGCAGGGGGAGTGGGGTTGGGTGATGTATTGATAGGGGTAGGAGAGAGATTAGAGATCTCTTTCCTGATTGTAGAGATCTTCTCAGTGAAATGAGATGCAAAGTTTGTGGCGGACAAGGTGGTGGAAGGAGGGGGAGTCTCAGGGCGAAGAAGAGCATCAAAAGTGTGAAACAGGTGTTTGGGTTGATGGGACAGTGTGCTTATGAGGGTAGTTTACTTTTGCAGAGGAAAGAGCCATGCTGTAGGAGTGCAGCATAAATTTATAGTGGACAAAGTCAGATGCAAAGTGAGACTTTCTCCAGCAGCGTTCAGCAGTTCTGGAACATTTTTGGAGGTAACGGGTCAGCTTGGTGTGCCAGGGTTGTAGTTGGGGGCGCTTGCTGCGTTTAACTGTTATTATATTTATATATAGACGTATAATTACAATAATAAATAAATAAAATAATTTAAAAAAAATGTAAATTAAAATAAATTAGATATACATATGTAATTTCATTCTAACTGTATTTTGTTAATATATATATATATATATATATATATATATATAACCATTCGGCCCATCTAGTCTGCCCAATTTTCTAAATACTTTCATATATATGTATGTATGTAACAAAATACACTTAGAATGACATTCTCTCTCTATATATATATAAATATAGAGGAAAAACCTAAGAGACTACTCTCATGGAGAGTGACCACTAGATTAAAATCCCAGTCCAATCTAGAAAAAGTATAAATGAAAAAAGGATAACTGTGTATAACAAATTCCACGAATGGAAAAATGGAAACACAGAGGTCAGTGTGGTGGTACCAGATCCACCAAATGGGCTTGAACCCAATACATTACTTAGAAAAAAATAATAAATAAATAGAGTCTCAAATTAAAGTGAGACTCAAAGCTGGTTTTTATACAGAGTAGGGGAAGTAAATAGTGTTGTGGGCTGCGACTGGTCAGAAAATAAGACCAGAGTTTAAGGTAGGTGGGGATTGCCAAAAATTCTCAATCACATATAGTTCCAAAAAAGTGCGAAAAAATAATAAATACTTTATTGATGCGTCAAAAATAGAAAGCACTATATATGGAACAACTGCTGTGAGGCAAAATGTACAAAAGTAATCAGAGGGTCCTCTGTGTCTTTAGAAATAAGGCACAAACCTCTAAACAATATACTAAACCCAAGCAGGAAATAAATATTAATTGCTATGGGAAGTCCACTAAATAGTGGTTAGACTAGTACAGAAATAGACTCAGGGGGTCAGTAATATCAGCAGGAATTAGCTATTAACAATACAGGGACAAGTATAGCAGCTAGAAGGCATCAGAATCTTCCATATGAGGAAGGCATGTATAGAAATGAAGACAAAGAGGTATTTAAAGAGCAGTCAATATAAAGGTGCTCAAAAAACCTCAGAGGTTAACAGGTAGTACTGAATCTGGCAGATAGCACCAAACTTGTACACTAGTACACCCTGCTGCTCCTAAGCCAACACCTTCAAGGGTGTTCTGTGCTGTCCCTAGTTTAAGTATAGGCTAGAACCTCCCAAGATTCCCCACCAACTAAAAAACTACTGAAAATTAAAGGGACACTATAGTCACCTGAACAACTTTAGCTTCATGAAGCGGTTTTGGTGTATAGAACATGCCCCTGCAGCCTCACTGCTCAATCCTCTGCCATTTAGGAATGAAATCCCTTTGTTTATGAACCCTAGTCACACCTCCCTGAATGTGACTTGCACAGCCTTCTATAAACACTTCCTGTAAAGAGAGCCCTATTTAGGCTTTCTTTATTGCAAGTTCTGTTAAATTAAGATTTTCTTATCCCCTGCTTTGTTAATAGCTTGCTAGACCCTGCAAGAGCCTCCTGTATGTGATTAAAGTTCAATTTAGAGATTGAGATACAATTATTTAAGGTAAATTACATCTGTTTGAAAGTGAAAGCAGTTTATTTTTTCATGCAGGCTCTGTCAATCATAGCCAGGGGAGGTGTGGCTAGGGCTGCATAAACAGAAACAAAGTGGTTTAACTCCTAAATGACAGTGAATTGAGCAGTGAAATTGCAGGGGAATGATCTATACACTAAAACTGCTTTATTTAGCTAAAATAATTTAGGTGACTATAGTGTTCCTTTAAAGTGTTAGACACCTAGTCCCACCATGAGTGAAATTAAAATAAAATAAATACAGGAAACCCGACGTGTGTTTTGGTGCATGTAGCTGCACCTTCGTCAGGGGATAAGAATACACCGGTATCTGAAGTTGAATTTAAAGCTCAGGTGACCAATCCACGTCGTCCTCAAGTCATCACCGAATATCCATTAGCAGGTGTAAGGAGAGGCATGATGGGGGCGGAAAACAGGCGTCCACTCAGTGGAGCGATAGCTCCTCCCTTTTCGGGTCATCATCAAATCGTCTATAAATAACCATTCACGAATGTGGGAGGGGGGCGGGATGAGGGCAGAGAAAAACCGCTGCATCATGAGGCTGTAACTCCTCCCATTTGAGGCTGTGCATAACTCATCACCATAATACCATGAGGAGGGGGCAGGATGGGGCGGGGGAAGCCACCATGCAGTACAGTAGTAAATACTCCTATATCGGGCACGTACCTGAGCGATGTAAACAGTGATACTGAGTTATGTACCCCTGTGAACTCAATACTGAGTGTGTCAGATTGCTCTATGTATATCTAGCCATTGGTGAAAATTGACAATTTGGAGCAGTATCGATGTTAATTAATTATTTAAGTTATTCTTCTAGATACTGGCTCTTAAAGGTACATATCCTTCGAAGATAGAAAATAGTAATGGTGGTAAGAAAATGATAATAATGGAGCAAATACTGAAATAAGAGATTCAGAGAATAAATCCAGTGGCCTAAGGTATAGACCTTACTGGTCAATTGGAGGAAAAATCTAGAAAAAGGTCTTAAAAGAAAATAACAAAAACTTTATTAATAATACTGAAAATACTGAGGTAAACCATAGAACCTATATGGAAGACCAAAGGCAACAATTAGGAGAGGTACTAGATGCCTCAATAATACGTACTATATCAGGTCAGAAAAGTATATGGTATTAGCAAAATAGGATAAATAAGCAATAATGAATGACAACCTGATCCTACCTAATTGCTGTAACCAGCTAATGGAAGTAAAACCCAACCCTGGCTAAAAATAGCCTAGTATAGAAAGACAAAAGTCCAATCGTAGGTAGAAAAGGCAGCAAACATGGGGGTAATTCTCATTCCTGGGCTACCACACGGTTTTTAAAGGTAACATTACTAATCTGGCAAATTTTAATGTGAAAAAAATGAAAATTGGAATGTGCTATATTTGACCCTGTAACTTTCCAATACTGCATAAAACCTGTTAATGGGGGGTACTGTTGTACCCGTGAGACTTTGCTGAATACAAATATGTGCATTTTATTGCAGTAAAAGCTAACAGTATTATGACATTTACAGCTAAAATGTCAGGCAGAGCTACAATTTTTTTTTTTTTTTTAAATCTTAATTTCTCAGTTTTTTTCATTTTATTCATAATAAATTATGTTTTGTATATGAATAGTTCATAAGAAATTAAAGCCCAATTTCTCCTGAACAAAATGATATATAATAAGTGTGGGTGCATATAATATGAAAGAGGTGAATTAGGGTTGAACAGACATATAGTGCAAATTCCAGTTTTTGTTTACATTTTGTTTTGATCAGAACGTGCACTATTGACTCCTTCCTGAAGGGGTTAATTTGTTGCATTGTTTTGTTTTTTAATTTATTGGTGTAAACATTTTTAGGTGAATGAGCACATTAAATATAGTAAACCCTTTTAAATATATTTTGAGCAGTTTAGTGTAGCTTCCATTTATTATTGATGTGTATCGATAAATAAATCTACATCTTGTTGCTAAATACACTAATACTGACTGAAGATACTGCATTAGCATTTTTCTATATTTACAATAAAGTTTATTGAAACGGCAGGCCGTAAGCCTTGGGTTTCTATGGAAACACGTGGAGTAAACGCAGCGCGACACTGGACGTGACGTCTATACGGCTGCGCATGTCATGCATTATACGGAAGTAGTCGGCAATCAGAAACATGGAGGTTCCAGTGATAGAACGCTCCGAGGCTGTGGAGGAAGAGGAGCTGTTCCATGAGTGTTCCGATAACACTGAGCCGGCCGCGGCAGGGGCATCGGCATCCAATGAGACTGCATGTGTGGACGATGACTCTTTGGAATGTCCAACATCTGAGAAGTCAGAAGAGGGAGAGGAGCCTGACGACAGTGTGCTTATTGAACTAGAGAAAGATGTCAGTGAGGAAGAGAAAGAGGTGAGTGAGTCAATGATCATGTCACATTACTAGAGCTAAATAGTACAAGGCACAGGTTACAGCATTAGGTACTCCACTGTAATTAGTGCTGTATTCATGCAACCCAGCAAGCACCATAACCACTGCAGACCTGGGGTCTGCCAGATTGTGTTCATCACCTCCTCTGCACCTCAAAAGCTCCAGTGAAACATTAGCTTACTGGCTGAGAGAAAACATCTGACTTGCAGGGCTTAGCTCAGTGGAACTATTAAAAGCTCCTTGTAGAAGTATTTTGACTTCAGAGGAGGAGGTGAACAGGGCCCAGCAGACACCATGTTAGTTGTCAAATCATTCTTAACTGGTTTGTCTGTTTATACTGGGAGGGTGCCAGAGGACCCCTGTCACCATAACCCTTACAGTGGGCTGTAGTGGGTATGGTGCTTGCAGTATTTATTTAAATAATGCTTTGAAATCTGATACTCGAATTTAGATGTTTTATAACGATTCTCTTTGAATTTTCCATTTAAACATCAACTGTCTCAGAGAGAATACAGGCCATAGAGCTAGATGATGGAAAGGTCAGCCCTAAAATGTATTAATGTTATAAATGGGAGTAGTATCGTGTGGTTTTCTTTTTGGATGTCAAGTTTTTCTTTGAAATACCATGCACAGTTGATAGCATTGCGCTTAGTAGATGGTGATGTTAGGTGCATTAGAGAATAACAAATTTTAAATGAGGTTTTTGGTGTCATGCAGTGGAGATGAGGGAGGTTAAGTTGAATAGAGCCTTCTCTGTAACAGAGCCAAAACATTGCCTACTCCTTGTTCCAAATGGTCTGCTTATTATTATCCTTAAATGCCCATATATTTTGCTTATTTAGTGAGTAGGGGAACTAGAAGTAGAGGGGGATGATGAAACTGATCAGCAAGGTTTTAAAATGGATAGGTGAGTGCTGGAGCTAGGATTAAAAGATGCAATAAAGGGAATCTATAGTGTTAGGAATACAAACGTATTCCTAACACTATAGTGCCCCCTTGCAGTACATCAAGGGTTAAAAAACCCTTTATTTGCTTACTTACCGTCTGTGCTCCACCTCCTCTGACGTCATCCGATGGGGGTGATGTAAAGTGCATGCGCGGCGAGCGCATTAGGCCCTCCCCATAGGAAAGCTGACTCAATACTTTCCTATTGTGATTTTACTGATGCTGGATGTCCTCATTCAAAGTGTGAGGATGTCCAGAGTCCGGTAAACTCCTGGTAGACAGTCACCAGAGGCTGTCTTAGAACTGCAATGTAAACTTTGCAGTTTCTCAAAGACTGCACTGTTTTAAATTGTAGTTTTCTCAAAAATTGCAATGTTGTTCATTGCAGAACTAAGGTAGATAGAGAAACTGCATCCAAACCATTTCAATGAGTTGAAGTGTTCTGGGTGCCTATATTGTTCCTCTAACATGGATGGTGGGAGAACACAAAAGACATATGTTATGATTGATATGTTTGTGTGTGTGTGTAGTTAAAATAATGTTAAACAAAAATCTGTACACCAGTCAAGCCATAAGACTTGCTTTTCCCACAGAAATCACAAATCTGCAGTGATTTTACTACCGCAAAGGATTCTGGGTGGGCATATGCAAAGTAGTTCAACAAAGAATAAAATTTTTACCTCATTCCATTTTAAACATGGATTTCTTTGAGTCTGTGTTTGCTGTATACAACAGCTTGGAACACAACTTAGGAAAAGATGCAAAGCCAGTGAACCACTCATGGACAGCTGTTTCATTGTTAATGCAAATCATCAGCATGAGGTTGGTTACTGGTTTGCTTATTGAGGCTTGGTAGTGTTTGGGAAGATATATATATATATAATAGATATGAGGGCACTCCCTGATGTCCCATTGCTTTTTAGGAAAATCATATGTTCTAATGCCTTGGTGCACCACGCTGGAACCTTTTTTTTTTATGGGCTATGTCTTTTGCAGGATAGGAAAAAGAAAAGCACCCTTTTGAAAGAAGAAGGAAACAACTTGTTTAAGAAAGGAGGTGAGCACATTATTCCGTGTTAGGGAGTAAAAGTGTGTGTGTGTGTGTATGTATATATATATATATATGTGTGTGTGTGTGTGTGTGTGTGTATATATAAAGGAAAATTTTCTTCATACTTACCGTAATTTTCTTTTTCTGATCATTATTCATGGCAGCATTTACTCATGGGTTAGCTCCTCCCCTCACAGCAGAAAGGACAGGAAATAGAACTCTGAAACTGGTATAAATAGATCCTCCCCCTTCCCATCAGGCAGTCTTTGTAACTAGCTTCACATCTTATAGTATATGGGTGGGAACGTAATGCTGCCATGAATAATGATCAGAAAAAGAAAATTACGGTAAGTATGAAGAAAATTTTCCTTTTTTCCTGACATTATTCATGGCAGCATTTACTCATGGGGAATACCCAAGCAGTATATTTTGAGGGAGGGACAGAGTTCAAAAACAGCCAATAGCTATAAAACCATTATTGAGCTGCATAAACCTTAGAAGACTCAAAAAAAAAAAAACCCAACAAGACATCAATAGGATGTTGTCATACATTCTGCTCAGACAAGTTAATTAACCTAGAGGCTGCAAGGTCAGCAACCTCCTGGCATTCAATATCTGAAATATCCTAAATATAGTCAGATAGGAATTAAGGCCATGATAGCATAAGTCAGAGAAGGATAATGCCATTTTGATATAAAATTTAAAACCAAATTGATGACCTTATCAGATCAGAACCTTGACAAAAGGCATAACAGAAGGTTGGATGAGAACAGACACACCATGCTATTAAACATGGCGAGAATTACACTGAGAATCCTACAACTCTCTGGATGTAATTATTAATGACGATTCACACTGCTTCCTCTTGCCTTGTGAACTACTTACCTGTGGATACAGGAAATAAATCAATACCTGCCTGTCAGAAAGAGGCAGAGCCTAGTAGAGAAATAAGTGTTATTAAAACACTGCAATAATGAATATATATATTGCAAAAATCCGACTCACAACAATACCTCACACCTAGGATTAATTGATACAATAATGATCAGGCACAGGAGAGGTATAAACCAATGACATTACTAGGCAAGGGCAAGAAGAGTCATATACAGATTAGTTAAAGAAAGAAAAAAGAGACATCGGTATGAACCGTGGAATTTGTGGAAACTTCCTAAATTATAAGTAGGACAATCATGTTAGTACCTACATTCAAAGAAACACTGTAAATAGTACAGATTATGCCAAACAGTATAATCAAATTTATTAGAGACCGTTGTGTAACATAAGTAGGAGATATGTAATCGGCAGGATACCGATGAGAAGGTGGTAACCAGAGGCACATGATCCATTGTGGCAACCGACACATAATCAGGATAGTAGAATATATTCAGTTATCCTTATGAGAACAAACAACCGCATACTTACTCTTACCTTATCTTCAGATAGCGAAGAAGTACTATGGCAGAGCTTATGGCGATAATAAGCAGTTTGTATTATTCTTACCTTATCTTCAGGTAGCGAAGAAGTACTATGGCAGAGCTTATGGCAATAATAAGCAGTTTGTATTATCTGCAAGATATCAACACCAATACAAGTATATAATCCATAAGTATTAAATCAATGCAATGTTAGGAGTGACCATAACTTATACCGATCTAGGTACAGAGACCATGAAAAACATATCAGTCAAATGTTTGTCATCAACAAGCTGCATTACATTATATTATGTAGGATGAATCAACCACTTAAAGCCACACCTCGGTTGCAAATTCCAGATATAAGGACCACTAGAAGAATCCCCATGAAGATCAGAAGAGAGGACCGTAATGGAGTTACCCGTTAAGGGATTTCCTCTCTTGTTCTGATAGCAGGTGAATTTTACTTGAAATAGTAAACCTGGTAGAATGGCCTGGGGACTAGAAAGACCTTCCAGTGTCAATTAAAATACTTGCAATACTAAGTATCAAAAACTTACCTGGATCATATGAGCATAAAAGAATACATTTAATTGCAGAAAGGAAATTATAATATACCCTTTCACCACAAGGGAATCTTGTCAGAAATTTCTGAACATTAATTCCTTAAGAACAAAAAGCATGCTACCCCTGACATATCCTAAAGGGATTGCCAAACTCTCAGGTCCCCAAGGGATAAAAGAGAATACTGCATATAAAAAATTACTACCTTCTCCAAATTATAAAGATGCTTTAAGGAAAGGTACGCAGTTCTAAAGAATATGTTAAACCAATTCCAGAGAACAGAGTTAAAAACTTAATAAAAAGCACAAACCAGACCAGAAGTAGTGAATTCTTCAGAGTAGAAGTTTGCGGAAAAATAAAATGATATTAGAGTTAAGACCAGGAGAGAAACAAGCCAATATGAACAGCTTTTTAAATCAGGTAATAGCTTCAGAGTTACCTACTTATGAGAACGATTAATAGCCCAATTTGTGCTCCTGCAACCAGCATGATCTTCTAAGCTGTGCATCAGTAACAGCATATATCTGAAGATAAAACACTGCCACCAAAACATTCCTTATCTTGATAAGAGAGGAGAGGCTACTTGGCAATAGAAAAACTTCTCAGAAATGGTCTCATGTATAAATACATAGGAGTGCACACAAAAAAGGCCTTAATTTTGTTAAACAGTACCATGCTCCATTTTGGAAATTCAGGTCTCCTTCTCTCCTGGGAGAGGCACACAGACAGGTTCAGTAACACCTGCAATCCATCTGAAGTGGTAAAATGTGTTAATTGCTTATCCCGAAACACCTGTGGGAGAAGGAATCTAATACAAAGCCAAAAGCAGTATGTTTCCTTATCCACTTCATTTAAAAAACTGAAATAGAAAATCCACAGGAGGCAATAATTACTTACCCAGTATAACAGTGCATTTGTATTTGCTAAAATTAGGCAGTGCTACATTTCAGCACAAAACCCAGACCTTAGATCATTTGTATATATTAAATATCAATGCCGTGTATAAATTAGGGTTATCTAATACTACCAACCTGCATACAGATTATGTGAATCACATACATTGTGGATGTTTCTAACAGCACCTTATACACAGATATATCAGTTACATATACTGAGTCTGTTCAAATAGTAATAGCAGAGGTAGGCTATATACAGTGACACTATGCCTGTACACATATTAAGATTATATGAGTGAGATAAATTGAGGCTGTTTTCAACAGAACTTCATGCACATATTACACCACTCATATATACTGAGGTTGTGACTAATAACCCACACAAAAAAACCTGCATTAGATTGGACTCATAGAGGATGTGTCTTATATCATTCACATATATTGTGTTTCCACTAATACATCAAGCATATAGTGAACAGATCCACTGAAGCAATGTCCACACCAACTTACATATAGAGCATGTTGAGACATATACTGAGGCTGTGTTTTTAGAGCAAATAAAGAACACAAACTGAGCCGAGACTTCCGATCATCTCATACGTAGACAATATAGTGGATATATATACTGAGGCTGTGTCTTCATAGTAACTCGTACACAGAGCATAAAGCGCATACATAAACTGAGACTGTGTCTTCATAGTAACTCATACACAGAGCATAAAGCGCATACATAAACTGAGGCTGTGTCTCCATAGTAACTCATACATACAGCATATAGTGGACACATATACTGAGGCCATGTCCTTATAGTAATTCATACACAGAGCATATAGTGCATACATAAACGGAGGCTGTGTCTCCATAGCAACTCATACATTTATCATATAGTGGATACCTATACTGAGGCTGTGTCCTCACAGTAACTCATACATAGAGCATATAGTGCATACATAAACTGAGGCAGCGTCCTCATTGTAACTCATACATAGAGCCTATAATGGATACATATACTGAGGCTGTCCCCATAGAAACTCACACATAGAGCATATAGTGGACACATATACTGAGGCTGTGTCTCAATAGAAACTCACACATAGAGCATATAGTGGACACATATACTGAGGCTGTGTCTCAATAGAAACTCATATATATATATATCTCATATATAGGATACTTATACTGAGGTGGTGTACTCACAGTAACTCTTATATAGACCACATAGCAGATACATATACTGAGGCCCTATCCTCCTAGTAACTCCTACATAGAGTATATAGTGGATACATATACTGAGGCCGTGTCCGTATAGTAACTCATACCTAGAGCATTTACTGGACACACTCTGTTCATATGTTAGAGCATAAAGTGAAAACACACCGATGCTGTACCACCAACAGATCATGTATGGATACTGAGGCCCCGTGGTCTCATATGCAGTATATTTCTCCACTCTCTGGAAAAGCCTGCTTATTTGTGATAATGCACAGATAACAGCAATCAATGCCACATATCTTGATAGGAACAAGTGTGTGTGGACTTTAAAATCATATACATGTGAGTACTTCAGTCACCCAGGAAAGTTCTCTTACCTTGGATATTTCTTCAGGACTGTGAAATTCCAGCAGACTTTATACAGCCAGGATATCCATTATTAGCACTCTTTTTCACAATGCCTTATTGCATCATAAGCACTCTTTTGCACAATGCCTCCTTGCATTATCAGCACTCTTTTGTACCAAGCATCCTTTTATGTATAACTTACCTAAATGCTCACCACACAAACCTCCTAAATGTGACCTATTTGTTAGAAGGAAGCCTAATGTAAGCCGCTGGGAGGGACTGAAAGAACAGAGACCCAGGTGCCTATACTAGTTTTAATCTAATTACTAATGCACTTACTTGAACAGCTGCAGGCCTGTGTTTCAACAGCAAAATGGGGATTTGAACAACTGACAGCCTAAACTGTTTAAACTATAGGCTTCCATCTGTACCCCATATGCAGTCCATCATCACCAGTGGGAGGAGGATTAACCAACCCCATACAAGGTGGAACACCAAGAATAGGTATACCCAGGTAGTCACCTTATGGAAGTGCTGTTTACTGGGTCTTCAAAAATAAAGGCTTAGACTTGGCTGGGCCTCATGTATGCAGTGGACCGCTGTCATCCCCTCAGGGAGAGAGATAGGTCAGACTCCTGATTGCTGAAGGAGGTACCCAGGCTGGCAACTGTTACAGATGTGCTGTTTGCTGGGTCTTCAGGGATAAGAGGCTGAACCCTGGCCTGGTATTATGTAGGCAATATATCACATTCATCCCCTGAGTGGGTACCCAAGCTGAGCTGTTGCTGGGTCTTCAGGGATAAGAGGCTGAACCCAGGCCTGGCTTCCTGTAGGCAGCATATCACATTCATCCCCTTAGGGAGTACCCAAGCTGGCCTGTTGCTGGGTCTTCAGGGATAAGAGGCTGAACCCTGGCATGCAGTGGACCATTTTCATCCCTTAAGGGAGAGGTTGGGTCCGACCCCCGGTCACTAAAGGGGGTACCCAGGTTTGCAGTATTAACAATAGTGCGTTGCTGGGTCTTCAGGGCTTAGAGGCTGAACCCCGGCATGGCTACAAAAATATTGCCTGGTGAGCATAAAAGAAAATCTAGGCCTGCTTAAGCAGACTCCTTCCAAACTGCTGTGAAGGACAGGAAAAAAGACTGCCTGATGGGAAGGGGGAGGATCTATTTATACCAGTTTCAGAGTTCTATTTCCTGTCCTTTCTGCTGTGAGGGGAGGAGCTAACCCATGAGTAAATGCTGCCATGAATAATGTCAGGAAAATATATATATATATATATATATATATATATATATATATATATATATATATATATATATATATATATATATATATATATATATATATACACACACACACATCAGCATCGGACTGCAACCTTGTGGGTCTCATCATATCATGCGGATGAAACCCACGACTTAACATATGCAATTTTTTTATTTGTACAGTTAGGGGAGTTTTTAGTGTTTGGTATCACTAATCTTTTTGGTACATTTAAACACACATGCTTTAATAACTGGTAAAATAATCTTAGTGATCCTGTCATGGCAGGTTGACTTAGAAAGATAACATCTCCAAATAATTATAATAACGATAAATTATATACTTAATTAATTTAGAAACTTTTACTCTTAAATTTATCTCCTCTACAGAGCTGATTGCACTGTCAACATGATGATTTTGTAGATGTAACAGTAATGTGACATCCACTGCTAAAAATACATTATACATAAAGTACAAAAAAGGCACGGTTGCTTAAGGACACATGACGTGTGACATGTCATGATTCCCTTTTATTCCAGAAGTTTGGTCCGTAAGGGGTTAAAGGCACTATATTGAGCATATATTGGTTTTGGTGCAGGAGTGTCTGGGCGCCTCCAATTTAAGCAAACTGTTTTTGAACAGTTTACTTATTACCATTCCCTGTCTCCATTACCAGCTGCTGAGAGCCAAAGGTTCCTTGGCAGGCTAAGCTCATTGGCTGAGAGTGTCATCTGATTGTTCTTAGCTCAAGAATGCTAGTGGAAGATCTTGTTGAGGATTTGTTTGGTGCGCAGTGAACCCGAGGAAGAGAGTCAAACTGTTCAATAACTTTTTGACTCCTTACAATGGTGTCTCCCTAGCCACTAAAGGAAGCTTTACCTGCACAATATATATAAATTGTGATTTTATTTATTTTTTTACTTACTGTATGTACTCGAGTATAAGCTGACCCGAATATACCCGAGGCACCAAATTTTACCTAAAAAAACTGGGAAAACTTATTGACTCGAGTATAAGCCTAGGGTGGGAAATGCAAAATAAAAATAGATACCAATACAATTACATTAATTGAGGCATCAGTAGGTTAAATGTTTTTGAATATTTATTTACAGTGTGTGTATATAATGAATGCAGAGTGTGTGTATATAATGAATGCAGTTTGTGTAGAGTGTGTATAGAATGCAGAGTGTGTGTTTGTGTGAATGCAGTGTGTGTGTATATAATGCAACTTATTATATAGGAATACTTATTACCTTATTTTATGTACACCGTGCAAAACCCTTTATTTATTTTACTCTAAGATGAATGTGGCCTGGTATAGAGTAGGATTGCGGGTTGACAGAGAGTTACCTTTTATGAAATGAAAATGTATCCATACATTGTATTTATAAAATAAATTGAGTTAGAAACCTAAATATTTACTTTGCCCTCGTGTTTTTGCAGAGTGCGTGTATTTGTGTGAATGCAGTGTGTGTATATAATGTAGTGTTTGTAAACTGGGTGGGGGTAGGGCATTTTTAATATTTTTATGTATTATTTAAATATTTAATTTGTTAACTTTTTTTTTTTTTTGTTCCCCCTCCCTGCTTGTTAGGGAGTGGGGCTATGTCAATCCCTGGTGGTCCAGTGACATGGTCTGTGCAGTGGGGGCCCGCAGAAGCTCTTGGTTACCTTCTCAGCAGCTCCCTGTGTAAATCTCGCAGCCAGTGTGCTGCACGGAGCGTTGCCACGGTAATAATTGACAACGCTGTGATGGCTGCGGGACTCACAAGATTTACACAGGGGTGCTGAAGGGAGCTGCTGGGAAGGTAAGTAAGAGCTTCTGCGGGCCCTCCCCAGGACCGCCGGGCTTATCATGAGCCCGGCTGTCCTGGTCTGTATTATGGCAATGTAAGTTGCCAAAATACAGACCCTCACTCGAGTATAAACCGAGGGGGGCTTTTTCAGCAAAAAAAGTGCTTATCCTCGAGTATATACGGAATATCTTTTGAGTAATGTTTAGTTAAAATTTTATTTAAGTATAATTTTCTCAGTTACTTTTTGCTAAAAAAACATTATTGTCTTACTGTTCAGATTATATTGAAGCAGAAGCTTTATACACTCAAGCACTTCAAACTTGCCCAGCTCTTTACCAGAAGGACAGATCTATCCTTTTTTCAAACAGAGCCGCTGCCAGACTAAAACAGGTAAAACATGTCTTCTTCCCTTCTGTTAATTTTGTATTACAAAACAAATATTACATTTGCCCTATAACTTTGGCAAAATTTTGAACTGTTCAAATTGTCCTTAAATAGATAATCTATAATTATAATATATATGATAAGAAATTATACCAGTCTAACTTCATTAATAACAAAATGGCACAATTTCCAACAGCCTAAACTAGGGAGAGGTAGGGGGCAGTGCATTCAATTAGAGTGGAGGGGGTGGAGCATTGGATTGGCAGAGATCATTGTTTGATGATCTCAGCCAAAATAAAGAACACACTCATAGGATTTCAAAATCAACACAATAATGTCATTTGGTTTTTACAGCTGTGTAACAGCTTCCATTCACTATTTCAGCCCCATTACCAAACTTTTCTTAATATGTCAAAGTAGTTGGACTAAAACATTGGTTATATGAAAATGCACGTTTCCTTAACCCCTTAAGACCGGAGGGCGTACTATTACGCCCTCTAATAGGCGGCTCTAAACGCCGCCGGGCGTAATAGTACGCCCTCCGGTCTTTCTGTACTTACCCGGTCGCCGGCGGTCCCACGCCGGCGATCGCGGTGGGGAGGACTCCCAGGGAGCCCCCCGCGGCACGACCGTCCTCCAGGAAGCCCCCCGGCCGTGTGAGAGTGGGGTCCTAGCGAGGACCCCACAATCACATGGCCGGGGATAGCTGGCTTCTGTATTGCCGGCAGGGGGGCTGCCTGTAATTACAGGGGGTCCCCCTGCTGGCTGAAAATAAAAGTAAAATAAGTTAAAAGTGTAAAAAAATAAAATTATATATACTTAGATCATATATATATATTATATATATATGATCAAAGTATATATATACACATATACATACACACATGTACACCGTCTAGGTGTATTTTACTATTAATATATATATAATTATATATATATATTAATATCAAATTACACGTACACTGATACTGATTAAATATATATATAATTATTGTTATATATATATTTATATATAATATAAAAAAAATAAAATGTAAATACGTTAAAAAATAAAATTACAAAAATAATTAAAAATAAATAATTTAAAAATATATAGATGTGTGTTATTTCGTTCTAACTGTATTGTGAAATTAATATATATATATATCAAAATACACATAGAACGAAATAATATATATATTTATACACATAAATATATACGTATATATCACTATATATATACCTATATATAAATAAAAATATTTTAAAAAAATTATATAGATATATACATATATATACACATACGTATATATATACATATATTGATTCTACATATATATTTATGTAATATTTTTACATAATTAGGTATCTTAATTAATTACAATTAGCAGGACCTGCATGACAACCCATGCCGAAAGTAAAGGGAATTTAATTTGCTAGCACTATATTTAACCCTATAACTTTCCAAGACACCATAAAACCTGTACATGGGGGGTACTGTTCTACTCGGGAGACTTCGCTGAACACAAATATTAGTGTTTCAAAACAGTAAAATGTATTACAACGATGATATCGCCAGTAAAAGTGACGTTTTTTGCATTTTTCACGCACAAACAGCATTAAACGGACAATATTATTGCTATGATACTTTTTACTGTTTTGAAACACAAATATTTGTGTTCAGTGAAGTCTCCCGAGTACAACAGTACCCCTCATGTACAGGTTTTATGGTGTTTTCAAAAGTTACAGCGTCAAATATAAGGCTTTGCGAACATTTTTCACATTAAAATTCGCCAGATTGGTTACGTTGCCTTTGAGACCTATGGTAGCCCAAGAATGAAAATTACCCCTATGATGGCATACCATTTGCAATAGTAGACAACCCAAGGTATTGCAAACGGGGTATGTCCAGTCTTTTTTAGTAGCCACTTAGTCACAAACACTGGCCAAAATTGGCGTTTTTTGCATTTTTCACACACAAACAAATACTAACGCTAACTTTGGCCAGTGTTTGTGACCAAATGGCTACTAAAAAAGACTGGACATACCCCATTTGCAATACCTTGGGTTGTCTACTATTGCAAATGGTATGCCATTATGGGTGTAAATTTCATTCCCGGGCTACTATACAGTCTCAAAGGCAACGTATATTTGAACCCTGTAACTTCCCAAAACGCCATAAAACCTGTACATAGGGGTACTGTTTTACACGTGAGACTTTGCTGAATACAAATATGTGTATTTTATTGCAGTAAAAGCAAACAGTATTATGACACTGACCGTTAAAATGTCATGTAGAACTAAAAAAATAAAAAAAATCTATTTTCTCCCATTTTTTCATATTAAATTATGTTTCATAGCTAAATATTTGATATTAAATGAAAGCCCTGTTTCCCCTGAATAAAATGATATATAATAAGGGTGGGTGCATTTACTATGAAAGAGGTGTATTACGGTTGGACAGACATGTAGCGCAAATGCCAGGTTTTGTTTACATTTTGTTTTGTTCACAACGTGTACATTTGGCTCCGTCCTTAAGGGGTTAAAATAAATTTGCTGTTTTGTTTACTTTGAAGCCCTAGGAGCGTGAGAACGTCCAGTGTCAGGCAACTTCTTTTTATTTTTTATACTGTACTCTGCTCAATAAACATATATGTTTCTTTGAAAACTGACGTTTTTGTTTTTTTGCGGCCCACATAAACTTAAACCTTGTTTATTTGGCCCATGTGAGCCTTTGAGTTTGACATGCTTGCTCTAGGTGCTCTGTACTCCCTTTTGTAATCTGAAAACAATCTCAATCATACATACAATGGTGTTAAGCATTTCTGTGTACATACATGTCTCCATATTACTGAAAATGATACAAACTGAAACAAACAATCCTTTAAAGATTTCATAATCTGCCAGTGTAATGTTCTCAAAAAAATCTATCACAGATGAAGTTTGACAATTAATTCACTGGTATATGCTGATAGGGTAAACATATCACTGCAACAAGTATTTAGTGGGTCATAATATCACATGTATGTATTTTGTGGTATAATTTTGGGGAATTTTGGTTTAATACGGGCATGTTAGATTTGTTTACGGGCATATATTTTAAACATAAATATAGAATTATTTATATACTCCACGGCACGTTACAGTGGTTTCAAGCAATGTATAATTTGATTTATAATGACATCTCTTGGTAAAGCAGCTTAATTAGCAACTTTTTTTTTGTTGTCATATTTTATTTCTGGTTAATATTTTATTACTCCTTTTCTGTACAATGATAAATGTGTTCCCCTTTTTTTACAGGACAAAAATGAAGATGCGCTGAAAGATTGCACTAAAGGTAATCCCCCCCCCTGCCCCCTATGTTTATTTTTGGAATTACACAGCAATTTGACTTAACAAATAACAATTATTGGTTAGTAGCTCGGCAGCTGATTTTGCTGAAAGTAATGCATGACAGCATCTATGTTTAAAGGAACATTCCGAGCATCCAAACCGCAACAGCCTGCTGTAGAAATCATGGTGTCATTAATGTCCTGGCTCTCTCCCAGAGTAATTTGGCAAACTTTTTTTTAGTCCCACTGAGTAAGCACCGCCACTATAATTTGTTGTTACCAGCCCACTCCTGCATTGCCCATGGTTTTCTCTGTTGAGATAACCAGGTTTTTATTCAGGAGAGGATGTGTTTCAATGGATGTGGGAGCCAGTTGCGTTGTTGTTACAGCATAGCTAAATGGTTTAACTACTTACCGTGGGACTTCACGCAGACATTCCTGGCACCATAACAACTACAGCAGCCTTTAGTAGTTATAGTGCTTGGGGTGTTCTTTTTAACGAGACAAATCAGTTTGGTGTTCATATACTTCATATAATATACATTAAAAAAAAAAAATCTTTTTGCCAATCCAAGACTATTGTTTGCATTAATGCTGTACATATCTAGTAAAACCTTCCAAATCAGATATTTGTGGGATGTAAAGTATGATGCGTTTGGCTTTCCACTAGTAAAAGTGCAACTAATGCTCAGCACACAACAATGTGATTGCTTTATTCATAAAAAAAAAAGAATGAGACTACTTGCTTAAAAATAAGCCATTGATGAAAAGAAAACTGTAATGAAAAAATTACAACTTATTATATAGGAACAATTATTACCTTTATTTTATATACACAGTGCAAAACCCTTTATTTATTTTACTCTAACATGAGTGTGGCCTGGTATAGAGTAGGATTGCGGGTTGACAGAGAGTTACCTTTTATGAAATGAAAATGTATCCATACATTGTATTTATCAAATTATTTGAGTTAGAAACCTAAATATTTATTTACATTGCCCTTGTGTTTTTTTTATTTTAAGCTAGTAGGGTACCTCTTTGTCAATTTAAAGCTGTTAGACTAAAGCTGTTGATTTGCAAACAGATTTTGTTTTGTGCTATGAGGCTGTTGATCTAAGCATATTATTTTCTACCTTTTGAAAGGCAGGACTTAAATTTTACTATTTGAAACAATGAATACACACCACATTGACACTAGTAATAACCACTTCTACAGGACCAGTGCATTTTTAAAGACAGATTGTATAATATTAATGAAAACTGCTTTCCATTTTACTCCCTAAGATTGTGTTGAAATTTGTATCTATCACAGCAATTGAGCTAAATCCCGATTATATTCGTGCTTTGCTCCGGAGGGCAGAGTTATATGAGAAGACTGACAAACTGGATGAAGCCCTGGCTGATTATAAATCTGTTATGGAAAGAGATCCATCTTGCATTCAGGCCAAAGAAGCCTGCATGGTAATATGTCGTGTTGTTTCTTGTGGTCATGCCATCTAGATTTGTTTTGATATTCTAGTATTATCCAATATGAAAATGTTGTGTCCTTCTCTGCTAGACTAGTTTAATAAAGACCTCTGGTAGGTCGAAACATTGCTGCTTTGTCCCTTTTGATCCAATAAACCTGCCTGTGGTTTCAACACTCTGAGTGCCTGGCGGGTATTTCCTCTTGCCTTCTCCACTAGACAAGCTTTAAAAATGAATTGCCACTGCAAGCCTTGAGGATGGTGGAACATTCTCCACAGCTGAATTTCTAGTCACAGAGATACATATTCACTCATCAATGGCTAGTGGAGAGTGGTCATTTTGAGCCCTGGTACTATCATTACATACTTTAAGTGCTTATCCTGACTGCTTGATAAAATTTGCAAATAAATCTAAGTAGGTATACACACAGGGGGATTACAAGACTAGATGATACTTCATACAGACTTTAATTTAACAATTGTAGCACTTTTCTAAAAAAATAAAATAAAATACTGTATAAAACAGCCTATTATTTTACAATCTAAAGGATTGTGGCAGAATTAAATAATTATTAATGGTTTAGATAAAGGAGAATTTTAACACCTCACTGAGTGATGCTGGTGTAGGTTTTTGCTACATTTGTTTAGTTGGTGCAAGGGCGATCTCTCATTACAATAGGTTCCAGTTGAGCTAGAACTCACTGATGTTCCAATAACAACATTGACTGCTTTTGGACAAGTTCACTCTGCTTTTGTTCTACTCCAGTTCATAACCAGTTGGGAAACATCTCTGTGCACTTTATGCCCAGCTACAATGGAATATTGTGATCTAAGTACATATAGTTATTATTCCTGCATTAATCCTGGATATCTAAGTTTGACTAAATATATTAGCTACTTGGTCAATGGAGTGCTTGAAATTAGGCCAGTATTTGAAGATTGCCTGACTAGCCTCTTTTTTTCACTTTAAATTCACTTTGAATTCTCAATAATCCTGCTTGATTTAATAACTAAGGAATTCATCACACCAATATGCCATGAGACCATTTTGGATTCCCTATAGGACATATTTGTTACTGATCACTTATTTAAACCAACCGTCAATTGGTTACTCATTCCTCTAGCAACCAAGTTTGTTATATTTAATGGAAATCGCTTATATTGGTAGTGATTTAAAACCGTGCTAACTCCAGGGATCACAATAATCTTGTACCCATCTCATGTCACTCTTCCTTTAAAACCTCTTTTCATACTGCCCTCTGGTATGTACGCTCTGTTTTCAGTGTTACTAAATCCACTGCTGTGCGCAACCTTTTCATCTTTCGTTCCCTAGACTTACTAGCCTTAACAGAAACATGGCTCCCTCCCTCTGACACCACTACCCCTGCCTCTGTATCCTTTGGTGGTCTTCAATTTTCCCACAACACAAGACACTCTGAAAGCAAATGTGGTGATGTAGGGTTCCTGCTCTCACCTCACTGCTCCTTTAAACCTATACCCACCCCTCAACTCCCACTTCCCTCTCTTTCTCCTCATTTGAATTTCATTCAGTTCGCCTCTTCAAACCCATCTCTGCTAACATTGCCATTATTTATCGTTCCCCTCTACTCTTCCTTGACCTCTTTGCTGATTGGCTTCCCTACTTCCTCTCATCTAATATTCCACCCCTAATTCTTGGGGACTTCAACATTCTCCTTAACCCACCCTTGTCCTCAGTATCCTCAAAACTGCTTTTAATGACCTCCTCCCTTGGGGTATCACAGTGGGCTAAGTCTCCCACCCATGGAGCTGGCAATACCCTTGATCTTATTTTCTCTCATGAATGTACAATCTCTAATCTCTAATGCAACACTCCATTTCCTCACTCAGATCACCACCTCTTACCGATTATCGGTCTGGCCGATATTCAGAATTTTCGGCAAGATCGTTATCGGCCTATAAAAATACCGACAATGCAGACCAGGGCCGCCATCAGGACATGACAACCGAGACAGGATGTCATAGTCCTGGGGGGTTCACAGCACCCTTCAGCTCCCCTGTCTTAATATCACGAGTCCCACTGGTTACCATGGCAATGCGGCACACAGGCTGTAAGAGTTAGACGGGAGCTGCTGGGAAGGGAAGTAAGTGTTGCTGGGCCACCTCTGCAGAGTCCATGCCATATCCTCGCTCCCTGGCCAGGTAAGAAGCAGGGAGGGGGACCAAAACAAAATGTTAAAAAATTTAATCTATAAAAAATAAATAAAGTTAATGCCATATCCATTCCATTTTACACACATTACATACCTACACAAGCACTCACTGCATTTACTATACACGCACTACACAAACACACCCACTGTGCATTCATTCTATACACACATATTACTCAAACACACTACACACACACACACACACACACACACACACACACACATATTTTTGAAAACACAAATTCTGACTGGCATGTATATTGTATGCATTTACCTTAATAAAACAAAGATTTGCAAAAAAATAAAATAATTAACATGTTCAGTTAACAGTAGATTTGTGTAGAAATAGTTTATTTTTTCAAAACAATAAATGTACAGAGTATTGGTAAGTTGTCGGCTATCTACCTGAAAGTTCAAAGATTATCGGTATCTGCTCTAAAAAAAAAAAAAAAAATCAATATCAGTCGATCCCTATGTCTTATCGTTAGCTCTCAATAGCCCCCTTCCCCATCATCCTCAACCTAACTCCCTTCAACTAAGAAGAAATCTGAACTCTATTGACCACCAGCAGCTATCCGATAATATTGATTCCCAACTTCTATCCATCCCTAATGTCTCCTGTTCCTCACTGGCTAGCTCCTCATATACACTACCCTCACTTCTGCCCTGGATGCTGCAGCCCAACTCCAAACATGCACCTTGAGGAGAAAATGCCCCAAACCATGGCACACTAAATCAACAAGCTACCTGCAGAGATGCTCCTGCTCTGCTGAACGCTGCTGGAGGAAGTCACGCACCCAGTCGGACTTCCTCCTCTACAAATTCATGTTGTGTTCATACAGCACAGCCCTTGCCATACTTTCCTCCCTCATTAGCTTATGCTCCCGCAATCCCAGGCGTCTTTTTTTAATTCCTTTACTCCCTTCTTTGCCCTGCTGTGGCCACCCGCCAAACTAACCTTACAGCCGATAGCTTTGCATGCTACTTTACCGACAAGATTGAACATCTAAGGAAAGAATTCTCACCACCTTGCCCCTAGGTCATGCCTTTCCTACCCTTCAGACTTTCTCCCAGGCTACTGAACAAGAGGTGGCTGTGCTTCTCCTTTCCTCTCGACCCACCACTTGCCCGCTTGATCCTGTCCCTTCTCACCTCATCAGATCTCACCTCTTGTCATGTTCCTTCCTTAACACACATCTTTAACTGCTTTCGCTCTTCTGGTGTTGTCCCTGCTGACCTTAAACATGCCGCTGTAGTACTTATGCTGAAAAAAATATCTCTTGACCCATCCTCCCCCTCTAACTGTCTTCCATATCCCTGCTCTCTTTACTCAAAGCTTCTGGAAAGACTTGTCTTTACCCGTCTGACTTGCTTCCTCAGTTCCAACTCTCTCTCCTTGACCCTCTTCAGTCTGGCTTCCGCCCCCTCACTCTACTGAGACTACTCTTATTAAAGTCACTAACGACCTAATCACCGCTAAATCCAAAGGGCACTACTCTATACTAATTCTTCTTGACCTCTCTGCTGCCTTTGACCATGTTCTTTTTTAATAACTCTGTCTCTGTGACACTGACCTCTCTTGGTTTTCCTCCTATCTCTCCAAGCACTCATTCAGTTTCTCCTTTTCTAATGATACCTCCTCCCTTCGTCCTGTCTCTGTTGGAGTCCCCCAAGGCTCTGTACTTGGTCCCCTTCTATTTTCTCTTTATATTGCCTCTTTTGGCAAACTTATAACCTCATTCAAATACCACCTGTACACTGGTGACACTCAGAAATACCTCTCCTCTGCTGTCCTGCAACGTGTCACTGCTGGCCTTTCTTCTATCTTTGATTGGATGTCCTTCCACTTTTTGAAACTCAGTCTCTCTAAAACTGAACTCCTTGTCTTTCCTCCTCCTAATACTGATCCCCCTCTTTCGCTCTCCCTTCAAGTGAGTAGTATCCACATCGGTACTTCCTTGCAAACGCGCTGTCTTGGCATTATACTTGATTCTGGCCTCACATCCAGTCTGTTACCAAATCCTGTAGATTCCACCTTAAAAACATAGCCCGCATCCGCCCCTTTCTTACACAAGATGCTACTAAGGAGCTTGTCCATGCTCTAGTGATCTCTCGCATTAATTATTGTAACCCTCTCCTAATTGGTCTTCCCAAAAGTCGGATTGCCCTGCTACAGTCTGTAATGAATGCTGCAGCTAGACTGATTTTCCTCTCCTGTCGCTCCTCTCACACCTCTCCCTTTGTCAGTCCTGACATTGACTTCCTGTATCCTATAGGAGTCAATTCAAGGTTCTAATCCTCACCTATAAAGCACTTACCAAAGATATATCTTTTTGTATGCCATAGTTCTAAAATACATAGAAACCTCTGCTGTATATAAAGACTTTTTTTAAATTGTTTTATTGGTAAAGTGTGAAATTTTATTGTTTTTCAGCGCTTACCCAAGCAAATTGAAGAAAGAAATGAAAAATTAAAAGACGAAATGCTTAGTAAGTATCTCTTTTCTTCCTGTAGAGAAACCTCTTTCCACTACTAGGTATTGGTCAGGATAGCATTATTATTTATTTTTTTTTACTCTGGTTTTTCATTATGATACTTCCATTGGAAGCTTCACCTTGCACAGGGAGGTTTTTGTCTGCTAACATCTTATTTGCACTAATTGCACTTCTGGTTTGTGTACACACATTTTGTTTTACCTACAGATACTTGCATACGACAGGATATATTCTCTTACTTGCCGGTCCAGCTGCAAAATTATTTTCACATTTCGTAAGCAGCCATTATTTCATTTAAGGTCCCTCCCCCTCTCTAACCAAAAATATTTAATGATTTAAAAAAGCTTATCCAAAAATATTTAATCCAGGCCATTATTGCATTTACATCTGGAATAAGGGTTAGACACAATTGATAGTGAATATGAACTTTGACGTTTATTACTAGGTGATAACCATTTTCTTGGTAAAATCCAGTGCAGTGCTCAGAATTACACTGAACAAAATTATAAACGCAACACTTTGAGTTCAGCTCTTGAAAAGGGCAAAAACAAAAGATCTAAGCCCTTTTCTATGTACACAAAAGGCCTATTTTTCTCAAATATTTGTTCACAAATCTGTCTAAATGTGTGTCAGTGAGCACTTCTCCTTTGCCGAGATAATCCATCTACCTCACAGGTGTCGCATATCAAGATGCTGATTAGGCAGCATGATTATTGCACAGGTGTGCCTTAGGCTGGCCATAATAAAAGGCCACTAAAATGTGTAGCTGTACTGTATGGGGGGGAGTGACCACTATTTGCCTCATACGGAGCAACACATCTTTTACGCATAGGGTTGATCAGGTTGTTGATTGTGGCCTGTGGAATGTTGGTCCACTGCTCTTCAATGGCTGTGTGAAGTTGCTGGATATTGTCAGGACCTGGAACAATCTGTTGTATAAGATGATCCAGAGCATCCCAAACATGCTAAATGGCTGACTTGTCCGGTGAGTATGCTGGCCATGCAGGAACTGGTATGTTTTCAGCTTCCAGGAATTGTGTACATATCCTTGCAACGTGGGGTCGTGCATTATCATGCTGCAACATGAGGTGATGGTTGTGGATGAATGGCACAACAATAGGCCTCAGGATTTCGTCACGTTATCTCAGTGCATTCAAAATGCCATCAATAAAATGCACCTGTGTTTGTTGTCCATACCATAACCCCACCGTCACCATGGGCCACTCAATCCACAACGTTGACATCAGCAAACCGCTCACCCACACAACGTCAAACAAGCTATCTGCCCTGTACAGTGAAAACCGGGATTCATCTGTCAAGAGAACACTTCGCCTAAGTTCCAGACTCCATTCAATGTGAGAATTTGCCCACTCAAGTTGGTTACGACGACGACCTGCAGTCATGTCGAGACCCCGATGAGGACGATGAGCATGCAGGTGAGCTTTCCTGAGACGGTTTCTGACAGTTTGTGCAGAAATGATTTGGTTATGTAAACCGATTGTTGCAGTAGCTGTACGGGTGGCTGGTCTCAGACGATCTTGGAGGTGAAGATGCTGGATGTGGAGGTCGTGGGCTCGTGTGGTTACACGTGGTGTGCGGTTGTGAGGCCGGTTGGGTGTACTGCCAAATTCTCAAACTCCTTTGGCGATGGCTTATGGTAGGACATTCCTGCATGTTGTGTAATCGGCATCTTGATATGCCACACCTTTGAGATGGATGGATTATCTCGGCAAAGGAGAAGTGCTCACTAGCACAGATTTAGACAGATTTGTGAACAATATTTTAGAGAAATAGGCCTTTTGTGTGCATAGAAAAAGTCTTAGATCTTAGAGTTCAGCTCATGAAAAATGGTGGCAAAAACAAGTGTTGCGTTTATAATTTTGTTCAGTGTATAATGGATATTATTTTGTGCAGCTTTTACAAAATAAAGAGGACGATTTTAACGTATTTATATTTTTACTCTAGTATTCAGACACCCATTTAAGCCCTCAGTGGTTTAAAACACTGGAAGGGAAAAATCAGGAAAGAGGCCTTTCTTTTCTCTTTCAGCTAGATCTAAAGCTGCTATTCTGTAAAGTGGAAGTTGTTGAGACTGCAAAAAGCTGAATTGAAGACCTTTTTGTTAAAAAAAAAAAAAAAAAAAGTTTGTATATTTTAGCCTAATATTTTAGATTGTCTTGTCATTTCCAATCAGATTAAGGAACCCTAAAATGTATCCAGAAAAATAAAAATTTGATACCTATGTTTTGTTTTTTTTCCCCCCCATTTCATTTTGCTGACACTAGTGTCAATAGGGTGCTTTGTACAGGCTTTTGTTCAGTGTTTTAGCCATTGCTACTAGAAAGACAAGACTATTACTTTTTACTTTACAAGATATACAAGTGTTTGAAAAATAACTATTGTTAGCCAGAATGTTAAGGTATAACTTTAATTCCTTTGTTCCTAGGTAAACTAAAGGATTTGGGGAACTTGGTCCTAAGGCCTTTTGGCTTGTCTACAGAAAACTTTCAAGTCAAACAGGATGATACAAGTGGCTCTTACTCTATCAACTTTGTGCAAAACCCAAATAATAACAGATGACGAAGAAGCTATTGTTTGAATTATCAATGTTACATTTTACTTTTCTCTGGGTCCTTTGAGTTCCATGGATTTGCTGCTTCAAAGAATGTGCCATCAGATATTTGGCCCTTTTAAAATGGACACCTACATTGTTTTGAAGTGTACTTTTGATTCATTTACTTGACTGGCTTTAATTGCTTGACACTGTTTGATTTAACTGATCAGGCCTCTAAATGGTATTCCTTTTTAAAATAAAATCTTCAGTAGAGTTTTGTGAGGAGAGCCAGCTTTAGCAATAAAGCTGTTATTTAGCTGTAGCAATCGAATCCATTGGCCTTCAAATTTTTTTTGCTCATGAAACACTACAGGTGAAATATTTTGAGCATGTCATTATTTTTACCTGACTGCCAAGCGGCTTCTTGTAACCATAGAAATGTCAGCTCTGTCGATTTTATTACAGTTGATTTTGTGTTAGCAGTATTAGTATTCTCTCCACACTTCAGTATGTAGGAATAAATTGAAAGAAAACAAAGCAACCTCTCTCAACCTTTCCAGAGTGCTAATTTTATTTTACAAAACCTAGCATACTGCAGCTTTCAAACTTCTGACACCTAGATGGATTATGGACAAGAAGGTCAATCTATATCGTAAACAGAAATAAATGAACTGAAATTCTCACGTTTTCTTCATCCTCCAGGCAGATACGTCCTGTCCCTTATCTCTCTGACGACATTCTCATCTATCCTTCTATGCTTTACTTTTTGTTTTGTTTTAAATGTATTTTTTCTCTTTACACATAATCATGCTCCAAACCAGTAAAAAATAATTTTTTTAAAAAAAATTTTTTATCTACTGTAAAAATATTGCTAAAGAAAATTTTGAGTTATAGAAGACCTTTCAGTTGAATAAGTTTTTGAGCATGGGCTGGATGCTTGAAAATATATCTTTGCAAGGGGCAGGGCTCAGTAAGTATTCAGAATTAGAATAACCTTGACTACAACTGACTACATAACCCAATTGTTTCTAAAATTAAGGACCTGATCAATTAATTTTTACGTTAAAGGACAAATTTTGAAGTACAAGGAAAACCACTTTCAGGACAACACTGAAAGTAGAAAATATTCCTTGTAAAATAGCTTTGTGTAATCTGAAAAAACAAAATTGTGACTTGTAACAAACATAAAGCCTTTCAAAGCATGAATTGCACAATAAATATTCACCATAGTGTTTATTGATGCCTTCTAGCGGTTTGTAGACTGTCTTCTTTCTGTACTAATTGTAGCAATATTAATATATTTAGTGAGTTGGTTTTTTTTTTTTTTTACTAAACACCAACATTGTAGAGAAATGGAATAGGAATTGTAACATGTTGGCTAATTTTTGGAAAAAATATATAGAATTAGCTTTAGTCACAATTTTTTACTTTTTTGTAGTAAATGTATGCAGTTCAGTTTAAAATTAACTAAAAAACTTCGGTTTAGTGAATAAATGCTTGAAAATGAATATAACGTTGCATCCATTCAATAACTAACTGGGGTAGATTTGGTAAGGTTAGTATGATGACACAAACAAAAAAAACCCACTATGACTGCATTGTATAAATCGTCCTTGTTCAGTTTGTTTTGAAAGGAAAATATACCTAATTCTTAGATACATCTACATGGATGGAGCAGTCTGAAATCCTGTATAATTTTCTTCAGGCTCGGTTAATTTGTGTAGCAGAAAAGAATCCTAAAGTAAGATGAAAAAAGCAAAGTTGTTGTGCTACTGCATACAGGGTGTTTCTGTATATATACAGTTGCAAGAAAAAGTATGTGAACCCTTTGGAATGAAATGGATTTCTGCACAAATTGGTCATAAAATGTGATCTGATCATAATCTAAGTCACAACAATAGACAATCACAGTCTGCTTAAACTAATCACACAAAGAATGAAATGTTGCCATGTTTTTATTGAACACCCCATGTAAACATTCACAGTGCAGGTGGAAAAAGTATGTGAACCCTTGGATTTAATAACTGGTTGAACCCCCTTTGGCCGCAATAACTTCAAACGTTTCCTGTAGTTGCAGATCAGACGTGCACAACGGTCAGGAGTAATTCTTGACCATTCCTCTTTACAGAACTGTTTCAGTTCAGCAATATTCTTGGGATGTCTGGTGTGAATTGCTTTTTTGAGGTCATGCCACAGCATCTCAATCGGGCTGAGGTCAGGACTCTGACTGGGCCACTTCAGAAGGTGTATTTTCTTCTGTTTAAGCCATTCTGTTGTTGATTTACTTCTATGCTTTGGGTCATTGTCCTGTTGCAATACCCATCTTCTGTTGAGCTTCAGCTGGTAGACAGATGGCCTTAAGTTCTCCTGCAAAATGTCTTGATAAACTTGGGAATTCATTTTTCTTTCGATGATAGCAATCCGTCCAGGCCCTGACGCAGCAAAGCAGCCCCAAACCATGATGCCCCCACCACAATACTTCACAGTTGGGATAAGGTTTTGATGTTGGTGTGCTGTGCCTTTTTTTCGCCACACATAGTGTTGTGTGTTTCTGCCAAACAACTCAACTTTGGTTTCATCTGTCCACAGAATATTTTGCCAGTACTGCTGCGGAACATCCAGGTGCTCTTGTGCAAACTGTAAACGTGCAGCAATGTTTTGTTTGGACATCAGTGGCTTCCTCTGTGGGATCCTCCCATGAAATCCATTCTTGTTTAGTGTTTTACGTATTGTAGATTAGCTAACAGGGATGTTAGCATTTGCCAGTGACTTTTGTAAGTCTTTAGCTGACACTCTAGGATTCTTCTTCACCTCATTGAGCAGTCTGCGTTGTGCTCTTGCAGTCATCTTTACAGGACAGCCACTCCTAGGGAGAGTAGCAGCAGTGCTGAACTTTCTCCATTTATAGACAATTTGTCTTACCGTGGACTGATGAACAGCAAGGCTTTTGGAGATACTTTTATAACCCTTTCCAGCTTTATGCAAGTCAACAATTCTTAATCGTAGGTCTTCTGAGAGCTCTTTTGTGCGAGGCATCATTCACATTAGGCAATGCTTCTTGTGAAAAGCAAACCCAGAACTGGTGTGTTTTTTTTATAGGGCAGGGCAGCTGTAACCAACACCCCCAATCTCATCTCATTGATTGGACTCCAGTTGGCTGACATCTCACTCCAATTAGCTTTTGGAGATGTCATAAGTCTAAGGGTTCACATACTTCACATACATGGTGTGTTCAATAAAAACATGGCAACATTTCATTCTTTGTGTGTTATTAGTTTAAGCAGACTGGTTGTGATTTAGATGATGATCAGATCACATTTTATGACCAATTTGTGCAGAAATCCATATCATTCCAAAGGGTTCACATACTTTCTCTTGCAACTGTATATTAAAGAACAGGTGTTGTGTATTTTCAACCTTGGTTTCTAATGTTTAGGTTAAAACCAGAATACATGTCAAAAGTGAGTAAAATATACTTTTTAAGATTTAACATATACATTTGGCATTTAAAAAAGCACACAACGATAACATTCTCCATATGAACATCAAAGACTTTAGTGGACAAGTCTTAAAGGAACACTATAGGGTCAGGAACACAAACATGTATAAAAACACCATCGTCCTCCTTGACCTCCTAGATATAGTAACATCTTACTTTTATTCCTGCACAGCACTACCCCAGGAAGCACCTCTAGTAGCGATCTGAGGAGTGGCCAGTGGAGGTATCTCTAGGCTATAAAGTAAACACTGCCTTTTCTCGGAATAAAACCGTGTTTACTGCAAAAGGCCTTAAGGGAATGATTCTACTCACCAGAACAAATACAAGAAGCCGTAGCTGATCTGGTGACTATAGTGTCCTTTTAAGCTTAGTACCATATGGGAATAATAAAGGAGGCATAGGTTAGATTCCCTGTACTGATTTCATATATAAATTCCGATTTCTAATCATTTTCTCATAAAACAAGACATCCCAGTGCTATTGATTGCCAGGAGCACAGTTTCCTTCCCCTGCTCTGATCCTGGAGAGATATGTTGATGGGCTTTCTTATATCATATATCAGTGGTTCCCAACCCACTCCTCAAGTACTTTTCCTCCCCCCCAACAGTCCACGATTTAGGGAGTACTCAGTTGTGTCTAGGGCGTTTTTAGAAAAAACACTTTAAACACAGCAGGGTAATCCCTAAATCCTGGACTGGTTGGAGGTACTTGAGGACTGGGTTGAGAACCCATGTCATACATATTTACCAAGAAGAATATCCAGATGGGAGGATATAACTATTATATATGATGAGCCTTCATCTTAATTTAATTTTGTGAGTCCAACTTTGAATTCAACACATCTTGCGTGTATTTAGATTTATTAAGCTGTTTGGTTCCTTTTGTGTTGTTTTTTTCAGATACATTGCATATTGTTATTTTGGTGAGGACTTTTGAGGAATCCTTTTGTAATTACAATTAAACGAAAAGGGTAAAAACTTTATTATGAATGTGCTTATTTACACTGCACTTTTTAGGTGGATGTACCTGTAAGTGACAATTTCAAGTTTGCTTCCCCTGCCTGGTTTGCTGTCATTTTTAACATTACAGGAAAACTATGCAAAAATAAAAAAAAGACCATGGGATATAAATAATATACCAAAATGCTGCATAGCCAAGTGTGTGTTTAAGATAAAAATGCACCTGCGTTCAACAAAACATGGGATCCCTGAATGTATTTATCAGCTTCCATAGAACACTCTATTTGAGGTCTTAAAGATTCTCTCCCCTTTCCTTCCTCTAAATTATTATATTTAACAGCAGCATCTTCCTTGCTACACTCCTTTTCTTTTTTTTTTTATCATAGTTTTTCTTTATCTTCGAGTCCTGTTTTGTATTTTTTATGTTCTTCCTCTGTTCTAAAACAAAAGGCTCAGTGGTTGTGCATGCATGTGTCATTGTTTGACTGTTAAGTCCAGGACTTTTTAATATTTTTAGAGCTTTTTGTGCTGCATGTAGCATTTAATTTTTTTTATTCCTGTGTATGGGCCCTCATAGAGTTATAAAACAAAACGTAAAAAAAAATAAAAAATTATTCACTGTTCTATGCTTCTTCACATCATTTAAAAATTATTTCCATGTGGAAGAAAACTCTTATTATTACGAGTGGGGGCTACAGGTGTTTCAGTAGCTGCAACATCTGCCTTTTACTGATGCCTTAGTACATTCTCCTGTCTTTCATTTACTTTAACCCACTATTTGCGTCATACCAACAGAAAAGTTAATGCACACGCTCTCCCACCTCTCCCCCACCTGTTTAATGTGAACAGGGAAACCATACTGACATGCTGCTTCACTGACATCTTCCACAGGAAAATTCTTTTCACATGAGGTCATGAGAAGAAGGCAGACTAAGGAAATGAATTGGCTCTCTAAGCTGAATTATCTTGATCTTCGAGCATTCATTATTTGGCCAGGTAGTGAAGTCAAAAGGCTACTATATATACATTGTATGTTTCTACAAAGACCTTGGAGTCCTCTCTATTTTTTTTTATATATATATATATATAAAAAAACTTACTAGTTCCCCTAAAAAAAAGTAGATTAAACATCAAAGCTTGCCACTTCCAAGAACAAGTAGCCACTAGATAGTTTATACTAAAAGGATGTGACTAAATATTTAAACTTTTAAATGCACGCAATGACCCAATGACCCAGTCTTGCCCAGGTTGTGCACCGACCTTGCAGATTTTGCATTGTGGGGAAAAACAACAAATATACTGAAGCCCTCGTGTCTGAGATTTCTTACTGTAGCAATATGATATCAGTTCCAAATACTAATGATCACTAGTTTTAAACATTCTGAAATAGAAGTGTGATGCAATGTTTGCAGGCTTACTGCACTATAGTTTAATTATGCATTGTTTACGATAACTCTAAGATATTATTGTATTTTGTGTCTTGAATTTGGAAATGGCCCATTTCAGAATTTAATGGCCTACAATTTGTTAACACAAGAAAAAGACGTTATTCAAACAAGCAAGTTACAAAACATCCATTCTTTATTTTTAATTTATATTAACACTACATAACGTTCTCTTCTGTACAAGTGATGGAAAAATGCCTTTTCTATTTCAAACAAAAAGTACAAGCTAGATATTTTTTTTAAAACTACAGACATACCATAAATATTTTGTTTAAAATAAAACAGTATAAAATAACATCAGCATTGTCATTTCAGTCATTGTATGTACTAAAACAAAATGTTTCTTCATAGCTGAAAGAAAGCTGTATTTCCTGTAATGGTGATGTGTTTTTTTATACTCTAGGGCAGGGGTCTCAATATCAGTTTAACTGGAGGCCACTGGCCAAGTTGTCACCCCCATGGGGGTTGCAGATCCGTTTTGCAAGATGTATGTGCGTATACGCAAATCACTCCTCCCCAGCACTGGTAATGTGGACAAGCTCTCAATACAGGCTGTTTCCATGTGCTGTATGGAATTACAGAAGTTATGGTACACAACTGTTAAATGGCCAAACTTTACTAATGAAGCTAACAGGAGCACACTGCACAAAAAAAAGCCCCCTAATTCAGACTAGGCCACTAGCAATCCAGGACATAGAGGGGTGTGTCAGGGCACGGACATACCTCTCTATATTCTGGGATAATAGCCATGGGTTGCATTAAAGTATTTAGGGGGCTGGAAATGGTCCCTGCGCTGATTATTTAAAACCCCTGCTCTAGGGTATATTGAATAAACAGTTAATTGTGAATTTAACACAGAATTGCAATATTTACACAGCTCAAATGGAAAAATACTTCAATTATATGGTTTTCCATCCTAAATATTCTAGCATAAATTTGTCAATTCAATTATAGATTCAACAATGATAACTGTGTAATGAACAAATTTATAACAATTGTTGCCAAAAGATATGCATCACTGGTTTACAGTGTTATACCTGCCTGATTACTTTTTAATCAGATTTATACTACTGGGAACTGCATTTAAATCTATTGTGTCTGCTATTATCATGCAAATATACTGTCGTTAATTTGGAGAAAATATTAAACTCTATAAACAGCATGTTATTTTGACTTGCGAGCCAACTTGCAAAATTGGAAACATTATCCAACTCCACTGGGATTTTTCAAATCTCTCAGCTATTTGATTCTACGTTTTGCTAGTTGGTTCTCAAGTCACCAAGACAAATTCTTTGTTACTATACCCCTTAATTTAAAGCAAAATAGGAAATAAATCACACCAACTGGAAAAAGGTAGTAAAATACAAATTTAGATTGCAAAATGTGATAGAAGAATTCCTAAATCAAACATAATTCACATTTGTAAATAAGGGCTCAAAACCATATCTATTATATATTTTATATAAAACACTAAAACTGAAAATAAATACGTTTATTAACACGATATATGGTGGTATGCTTTCAACAAAATATAATAAAACTGGGAGTTCACTAAACTAAAATGATTTTGTTCCAGGAAACTACAAAAAAAAGAATTAACAACAGTGCTACTCATTAGGCTATGAATTCAAATTGGATATTGGATTTTTTTATTTTTATATTATTTTTTTATTTTAGGCCAAAATAAAAAAACAAAAAAATAAATAAAAAAAAAAACATAGCCAAGTTGGCTATGTTTCCAATTGGATTATTTTGGCTTAAAATATGAAACTTACTTGGAATCCCTAACGATTCACATTTTAATGAATGATTGTGTTTAGCAATCAGTTTTGCTGGGCAAGGCAACGGGAGAATATTATAGCAATTGTTATACAGATCTGGTGAAGATTTGTAAATAAGAAAAGTAAAGTAAGCAACAGAAAAAACAAATGTCCATATTGTCATCACAAAAAATTCCATTGTAAAACAAACCATAAGGATAGCAGGAATTTTACAGATTTTTATTATCTGGAGCTATCTCAATCTCTGTGTTATGCTGTTAGGCCTTCCATAGCTTGTGGGAATGTTGCTATGTATTAGTTTACTGAACAGATCTCCCAGCCGATGCCAATCTACATATACCTTCTGTGTGTTTGGCAGGTCAGCTTTTCGGTCTTGATTGTAATGCATCAAGCTTATACCTAATCGAGATCTTCGTGCTATTGGGTTAGAAGCACCCATGCAGCTTGTAGATCATTATTCTAGGGAGATGTCTAATGGAATTAAAGAATGACACACTTTGGTTTGCATTCTTTTTTCCGCCCTCCAAACATGACACCCTTAAACAATGGTAGGCAACCTTTGGCACTCTCGATACAGTGGACTACATCTCCCATAATGCTCTTACAGCCATCATGGGACATATCCACAACATCTCGAGTGCCAAAGGTTGCCCACTGGTGCTCTAATATATCTAGGGGGATATAAGGGAATTGTAAAGAAAGTTATATTGGATGAAAACTTGCATCTTCTAGCTTAAAGAATAACCCTGTTAAAAACACAAAACTCCACAGAGCACAATCTTTCAATAAGAATAGAGTATATTTTACTGATTGATTGATTGATTGATCAACCTATCATCAACCTTGGCTCTACAGCTTTTGTTAGACTACTCGTTTCTGAGAAACACAGGAAATGCACTTGGATACTGTATGGCTCTAGGCCTGAATAGTTCTATATTATTTTCACTGACACTATTCTTCAATTTCTGCTGAGAGCATATGATTATATAGCAGACTTTGAATTGTTATAAATGTGCTCAATGACTTGGGCCAATATTTTGGTATAATTTCCCTGTACCGAATCTGCTGGATTGTCTTACCATCATATTGTCTAAATATGTAAAAGGTAAACAGGAACATTGATCAACCAAATATATATATATATATATATAAATATATATATATATAATTCTGTACTAGTTAAACCAATATGGATGACTGACAAAACAAATATCTAGACAAACATTAATGCAGTTAAGCTGGTGGTCAAGAAATGTATTATTATTATTATTATTTTTATTTTTTTAAGTAACCAAAATACTTCGTACAGCATGCTTGAAATATAAATTATTCCTAAGCAAGGAACTTGTACAATATCTTAACTATGTAACAGAGGCAACAGAAATGTAATGAAAGGGACCTGTAAGAAGATACTCTAATTATATAAGTATCTTACATAAAGAAAATGCAACAATAATTTGTTTTGTGACATTACTTTAGATAACTTGGTCCCAATATCAGAATTTTTTCATTTTTATTCATGTTCTTCAACTCTTTTAGAACCACAATTTTACAATAATGTCACAATTTGGCCCTAACATGGAATAGGCTACGCATTAAAGAGGAGATTTGGTTATTGCTTGTGCTCATTTTTTTCTACTTATTGATAGATTTATTTTAATTTTTTAATTAACATGCTGTGTCTGGCACAAAATGCAAAGAAAGCAAATTGGTCAACCCCAATGCCATATCCAGAACACACAGAAAAGATCAAGCTGATGCGCTTGTTTGGAATTTCTTCATAGAGATCAGTGCACATGAGCATGTCACTGACAACATATAAGTGCAGGTGAGGTTTTTTTATTTATTTACTTTGCTTTATTCACCAAGTAAATACTGCAATCGCGTTAACCGGGGTGATTAAAGAGAACACTGTAGTCACCAAAACAACTTTAGCTTACTGAAGCAGTTTTGGTGTATAGATCATGACCCTGCAGTTTCACTGCTCAATATTCTGCCATCTAGAAGTTAAATCACTTTGTTTATGCAGCCCTAGGCAAACCTCCCTGCATGTGACTTGCACAGCCTTCCTAAACACTTCCTGTAAAGAGTCATCTAATGTTTACACTTGCTGTATTGCAAATTCTGTTTAAGTTAGCATTTCTTATTACCTGCTCATTTAATAGCTTGCCAGACTCTTCAGGAGTCTCCTGAATGTAATTAAAGTTCAATTTACAGAGCAAGAGATAAAAACTTTTTAAATAAGTTACATCTGATTAAAAAATGAAACCATTCTGTTTCCATGCAGGCTGTGTCAGTCACAGCCAGTAGAGGTGTGGCTAGGTCGGCATAAACAGAAACAAAAGTAATTTATCCCTTCAATGGCAGAGAATTGAGCAGTAAAACTTCAGAGGCATGCTCTATACACCAAGCCTGTTTCATTAAGCTAAAGTTTTATTGACAACTATTCTGTCCCTTTAAATGAAAAAAAAAATATATCACTTTTCTGGAAGTAATAGTTCCATTTGAGGTATTAGCAGAGCCACAAGTAGGATATTCCACAACAGTATGGATTTTTGTAGGGTCAATGAGATCACGTTCAAATAGGTATGAAAATGTTATGTGCCTGTTATTTTTACTACTTGAAAAAAGGTACTGTGCCTTTTCAATAGAGGCTTAAGATAGAGAGAAAAAACACCTTTTTTTTTTAAGGAAAGTTTGAAATTAAATCCTGTCCAGCAAGAAGAAAACACACAATAAATTAAAGGCAGCCCCCATCCAGCCTGCTGTAAAATACAGATTTTCTAAGACCACAAATATAGACATTCTCCATAGATTTCACACACAGATCTGAACTTATCTAATGTTCTTTTTCTAATAAGTTGAATTTAGGTTGAATCATTACTGTTTTGTTAAAGGGAAACTATAAGCACTAAAACAACGTTAGTGTAATGAAACTATTTTAGTGTATAGATCATGCCCCTACAGTCTAACAGCTAAATTTACTGCATTTAGGAGTCAAATCACTTTGTTTATATATTACTACCCTCACCTCCCCTGGGTGACACGAACACAGCCTCCCTACTTCCTGAAAAAGAGCCTACATTTTTTTAGGTTCCCATTTTGCAAAGTTTGTTTAATTTAGAATTTCTCATCTCTTGCTCTATTAATTACGTGTTAGAGCTTGCAACAGTCTTGAGTGTATGGTTCAAGTTCAATTGCCAAAAAAGAGACAGGAATTTAAAAATGAAGCACACTGTGCTGTAAGAGCTGATTGTAAAATTCTTTCATATAGGTTGTGTGCGTCACAGCCGGTGGAGGAGTGGCTAGGGCTGCATAAACAGAAATTAAAGTGATTTAACTCCTACATGGCAAAGAAATGAGCAGTAAGACTGAAGGACCTGATCTATACACTAAAACTGCTTCATTAAGCTAAACTTGTTTTGATGATTAGAATATCAATTTAAGTACCAGAATGCAGTGACACATTGGGTTGTCAAGGTTTTGAATAGCATTGCAGTTTATCTTGGTCCAGTTATTAAGATAATAGATTTCTAGTTACAACAGAGGCTTGGAGACACTAATATTCCTTATGTTTTGATCCCCAGTCACAGGGCTTCCTGTGTTATTTTATGATACTGGAAAGAATGCATAGACCTTTCAAGCAATCTCCTGGCCTTTGATTTGGTGTGAGAACACTAAACATCCTTCTAGTGGTTCTTTGCCACTGCCCACTAACCTTAATTACAATAGTCACAGTCTCATAGGTTATATAACATCCCTTTCCTTTCAACTTAACAGCAATAAGCTACGCACAATGTTAAATATACAATGCCACTAATAAAATAACATTATTTCAGTCACTTGAAGAGAACAGCGTATGTTAATTCCTTCAAACAAATAAAACTCAAAAAATTATTAATTTCCGTTTGTAGACATTACATAACATATGTACAGATTCATGCACTCCTTTTTTTGTTTGTTTTATATCTGCTTTGCACTATTCTTTAAATACAATTTACAATAGATATAACAATCTGTATAAGTTATACATGTGGGTATTTTATTTTTCATTCACAGCTCTGAAAATTGAATTGTTCTTCAAACAAACACAAAACAAAAGTCCTTCATTGCCAGGTTCCACTGAAAAGTCAACTTGATGCTATCGTAAAAATCCTCAGATGGCACCTATTGCATGTCATCTAAAAAAAATTAAATGAGAAAGAACAAAGATTGATTAATATTCCCTGGTGCCATTCAGTAACTCCACGTTTTAAAATAAATAAAAGCTTCTATGCACTTAAAACCAATTTATCATTTTAAATACCTTAAATACTCAGTGTAATAGGTTTAATCTCTAAAGCTGCAAGGCAATAAAGATATTTAAATGGACCTATCAACGTTACAAACCTTTCTACTCACAACAACATCACTGAAATGGAATTCAATTAATTCTTAATAGAAATAGTTTTCACTTGCAGGGTTAAAATGACAGGGACATGGCATCCAGGCTACTTCATTGAGATGAAGTGGTTGGGTGCCTATAGTGTCCCTTTAATTCAGACACACGTATTTCCTGTTAATCAACTACCATAGACAATAGCAGCCTCCTGTTTGTGCGTAAAATTCAATTAACAGAACAGGAGTTAAGACTTTCTAAATTAAACACATTGTGCTGTACAAACAAAACCTTTTTTTTTTGCCAAGGAGGCTGTGTGAGAGAAGTGTAGCCAGGGTTGCCAAGGTTCTTTAACTTCTAAATGGCAGAGAATTGAGCAGTGAGACAGCAGGGGCATGATCTAGACACCATAACTGCTTTATTAAAGGGAACCTATAGTCCAGAAAATAGCAATCGTTATTTAGGAACTATAGGGTCCCTTCTGTCCAACCCTCTTTTGTCCATTCCCCTCTGAATTAAAAAAAATAAATTAAATAAATATTACTCACCTTCATACCTGCTGATGTCTTCATAACCTCCTCCAATCCAATTTAAGAAAGGGATTGGAAATAGGCATTTGCAGCCAAACACTACACTCCTCCACTGACAGCAGCATTTGGTTCCCTGACTGATATTTACTCAGTTTGGAGGAGGAAGCGCCTCAATTGGCTGTCAAAAAGATGTAAACTGTAAACTTTTAAATTGCAGCTTTAAAACTAAAGGACTACTGCACCCAGATGACTTTTACTTCAATCCTTTTTCGTAAAATATATTTTTTAATTTATAATGCCCAACTGGGCATTCGTAATTAGGCCCCCCTATAAAACCCTATTAAATAAATTATAAACTTACCTGCTGGGTGAAGCTCCTTGTTCTGGCTTTCAAGCCCCTGTCTCATAGAGAAGCATTTAATTGGACAATTCTCACAAGCTCACAGGAGGGGTAAAGGAAGAAGGGGATATTTAAAAACAAATAAAGCATTAACTACTACAGGGAAGTATGGATAGCAGGGAGGACACATTGAAGCTTCCCCTTCAGGCACTGACTGCAAGGGTAAAAGTTGGTCAAGTCTGGCGCCAGCTTGCAATGCATGCTGTCAACAGACGTATTTTTTGCACAGTGTTGATATTGGTCAAGCGTGCTGGGGGTGCAACAAACCCCTGGAAAAAAAGTGCAAATATCTCTGTATGTGCAAAAAATATGTCTGTATACATCTGTGCTGGATTTTTGGGGGGCTGAAGAAATGAAGAGTTTAAAGAAAGAAGACTTCAGATGGTAAGTGTATTTTTTTTACAGCTATTTATTTTATTGGTTCCCTCTCTCACTTTTTTAGGGAAAAGGGGGTGACTATGGGACTGTGGACTTCTAGCCACTCATGGTGGGTGAACAACAGGGCCGACTTAAGGGGTGTGCGAGCTGTGCGGCTGCATAGGGCACCTTGGACCAGGAGGCGCCATGTGGCCGACACAGCTTGCACATGGCCGGGTGACAGGAGTGCAGGGGAGCTAAAACAGGTACTCGGGTGGAGGATTTTATTATTCTCCACCCGGGACTATAAAAAAAGATAATAAAAATTGAGGCAGCAGGGGCGAGGCGTATTGCGAGGCGTATCGCGAGGTGGGGCTAATACCTACCCAAAGCCTCTGGTAACTGCTGCACAAGAAGAGGGAAGAAGGAAGGAGTCCCTGCTTCCCCAACAACCAATTGCTTCCACTCCCTCTTCCAGCCATAATGGAAATAGGTAAGTCTCTGTGTGTGTGTGTGTGTGTGTGTGTGTGTGACTGTCTGTCTGCCTGTGTGTGTGATTGTCTGTCTGTGTGACTGTCTGTGTGTGTGTGTGACTACCTGTTTGTCTGCCTGCCTGTGTCTGTCTGTCTGCCTGCATGTGTGTGACTGCCTGCCTGAGTCTGTCTGTGTGTGTGTGTGTGACTGTCTGCCTGTTTGTGTGTGACTGTCTGCCTGTGTGTGACTCCAATAGTATGTGTCGCTGTAGCTGTGCCGTTGTGTGTGCCTGTATGTGACTATCTGCCTTTAACTGAGTGTGTGTGTACCTATCAGCGTCCATAAGTGTCTGCATGCCTGTAACCGAGTGTGTATGACTGTCTGCTTGTAATGGAGTATGTGTGACTGTCTGCTTGTGACTGTCTGTCTGTAACTGTGTGTCTGTAACTGTTTGTGATTGTGTGTTTGTAACTGTGTGTGACTGTCTGCGTTTAACTCTGTGTTTGGCTCTGTGACTGTCTGCCTGTAACTGAGCATGTGTGACTGTCTGCCTGTAACCGAGTGTGTGTGTGAGACTGTCTGTCTGTAACTGAGCATGTCTGACTGCGTGACGGTATACAGGCAACTTGGTAGGGGGAGGGGGAGGTGGTGGTGAAGACTTTTCGCACAGGGCGCCTAATGGCCTAAGGCCGGCCCTGGTGAACTTGTTTAATTATTTTGAGTACCCACCCATGGGTAGGGTTTGGAGGGACACTAGGTACTTAATATTGTAAATTTTAGTAAACCTGCTACTTTGTGAATATTCTGAATCTTATATTTTGAATAAGATTCAGATGCGAAAGCACCAATTTGAATTTGGACACCAAATGCATCTGGGCGACTAACCATTTCAACCCTCATTTACCTTACTCTTCACTCCAAAGTTTATGTTTATCCAACAGAGAGAGAGAGAGGCTATAATAGATCTTATATAATAGACCGTATAAAAAAATATAATATAACACTATAAAATGGCACATGACCAGGTACTGTTTTTATGGTATCTGGATATGTCCATTCTTAATTTATGAAACCTATCAATATCCACTGTATTAACTATTCTTTTTCCCAACTGCTTACTATCAAATAATGAGGAAAAGGTTGTATAGCAACGAGCAGGAGAACTGTGATTAGGTTCACCTTAGTAATCCCCCATTGAAAGCTCATCTGCTACTACAACAGAGAATATAATATTACTTATACTAGGGACAGGCAACATTTGGCTCTCCAGATGTTGTGGACTATATCTCCCTTAATGCATAATGTCCCTATATTAAAAAGTTCCGTAAGAATTTATAGGTCTACATTAACACTTTATCACTGTTTCTGGTAGGACTATAATTACAATTGCCAGCATACTGTAACAGCCTGTCCAAACACAAACTGGTGTAAAAGGTGTCCTAGTCTTAACAGTCAGAAAAAAAGCAAAAACATTTACATAGCAACATTTGATCATATAAAAAGTCTATATGACTCATACAAATTTATATAACACAGTGGTTCATATTTGTAGAGCAAGACAACCTATGCAGGAGCCAAACCTTTTTCTTTTTCAGAGAAGCATTAATTACTAATGCTATAAAGAGTATGAAACATTTTCATGAGACACAGCTCAGTGTGTTTTTGTGAAAGTTTGTCAAGTCTTATTTAATCTTGTAATAAAAAAAGGGATCATTTCCTTCTTAAATGTTACAGACAAGAATAATATCTTTAAATGTGCCGCACAAGGCACCGTAACCATTTGAACTCACTGAGGTACTTCTGGTGCCTACAGACCCCAGACACTGTCCCTTTTCATTATTGAACAGTTTAACAGTCATGGAAAAGACTAGTTGGAGTTACAGTGGAGATATCAGCTGGAAGTAAATGTAGAAGACACGTTCAGCTCTCCTTGGCATTTGGTATGTCTCTCTCCAGTCCTGTATTAGCTACCTGGAGTTTCATTTAGGACCCTGGACTACTCCTATGTCTAAGTCATCCTGTGCCCATTGTAGGTACAGGGTGTATATTGCTGTTTTACTGTTAGATGTTTTGTGTGCTCTTCTGTCCTGCTGGTGCTTGCTACCAACTAGGTGGATTTTGCTGTGGAGCCTGTACAGCACAATCTGTTGGTAGCAACAGAAATTGGCACTATCTGAATAGCAATGCTTGTTAATTTGCACATTTAGATATATTGCATATTGTGGTTTCTGCAGGCAGGTTAGTTATTGTCTTCCGCGCCCCTTTATTAAACCTTTAGTGACCAGACCATTTTTCAATTTTCTTACTGTTAAGTACCAGGGCTGTTTTTCCATTTCTGCGGTGTTTGTGTTTAGCTGTAATTTTCCTCTTACTCATTTACTGTACCCACACATATTATATACCGTTTTTCACGCCATTAAATGGTCTTTTTAAAGATACCATAATTTCATCATATCATATAATTTATTATAAAACAAATTCTAAAATATGATTAAAACCTTAAAAAAACACACGTTTTCGAGCTCTGACCCCCAAAATCTGTTATGCATCTACAACCACCAAAAAACACCAGTGCTAGTTTCTAAATTTTGTCCTGAGTTTATAAATACCCAATGTTAACATGTTCTTAGCTTTTTTTGGAAAGTTATAGGGCAATAAGTACAAGTAGCACTTTGCTATTTCCAAACCAGTTTTTTTTTTTTCAAAATTAGCAAAAGTTACATTGTAACACTGATATCTGTCAGAAATCCCTGAATAACCCTTCACATGTATATATATATATTTTTTTTTTAAAGAAGGCAACCTACGGTATTAAACTTGGGGTATTTTGACTCTTTTCGTGCAACAATTTTACCACCAATCTATGCCAAATTTAAAAAAAATAAAAATAATAATTGGTGATTGTAACAAACTCCCCTTTTCAAGTGAGTTTGCCACAAGCTCCTGGATGAGCCTGCTTGCCAGCCTCCTGCCCAAAGACTATAGACCTTGTAAAATGTGATAGAAAAGTCTCCATTTGGGTATTTGGACTGTATGGTTCAGGAACCAAACAGCTGCAAGAACCAGAGACCACCCTGGAGCTTGTTAAGCCTAATTGCTACTTTGTAAGAATTTCCACCTCAGTGTTCTAATGTGTTTGTCTGGGTGGCCGCAATTCCTATGGTCGACCACGAGGTGGTGGCCATCTTGTTCGCATGAACGCAGGCAGCAGTGTTTGGTCGTCGAGTTCATGGAATTATTTTCGGATACTGAAACTCCTGAACACCGCTGGACTTCCATGATCACCTGCGTTCGGTTCAACAACACTTAGAAAGACACTGTTCGGTGGATACGTTCCCACGAACAAGGGGAAAAGCTCCAGGGTAAGACTATTGACTATGTTGGTAGTTTGTTCATTTTGAAATTACCGAACTAGACCGACCGCAAGCCCTGATTCTCTGGAACTGTTTTGGGCATGGGACCATGCGTGCGGTCGGTCAAACAAATGACTTCCAGGAAATTCCTGAACCCCTGAACTGATCTGGGTGATTTTTGGATATGTTGGTCACCCAGGTAAGGGCTATCAGGGGCTGTTGTGGGTTTTTTATGTATTTTTGGGGTGTTTGGGAAAAGGTATGTTTTTTCTGTGCAGGATCTGATCCAATTATCTCCCACGCACAGAGGAGGGATTATCTGATTATGTATGGGAGTGTCCTGGATCTGAGAGCCATTGTAATTGTGTATATGTTGCTACTGGGGTTTACTCTTAGGTCCAGTGGGGAGTGTCCCTTGCATGGGGACATGCATATAAGGCCATTTGTGGCTGCCATTAAAGTGTTCCAGCTTGTTCTTCCCGAACTATGTGTCATCTGGTTACTGGGAGGGGAAAGGGCTAATCACTGTTCCAGTGTTTCAACGGGGGATTCAACAGAGAAAGTCCTTGTAAGGACTAGAGCTCCCAGGACTGAGTGTCGTCCAGTGCCTGGGGGTGTCTAGAGCGAATTCCCCATTTGGCTCCAGGAGAGATTGGTTCCAGGACCCCAGTCAAGCCACGGCGACTGTGGGCAGAAGTGCTGCAGTTTGTCCCCTGTTCAAGCTAGGAAGCGGACCTTTGGCAGAGGTACCCAGTCGGGGTACAGGGAGCTCCGCTACAGTGATTTTTTTGACACACATAGCAATTTAAGAATATATGAACAGAGAACTTTAAGGGTTACTGCCAAAGAACAACCCAATATGTATTAAGCAACATCTCCCGAGTACAGTGATATCACCCATGTATAGGTGTGTCGGGTTCTCTGAGGGCTAAAATACCTTATTTGGAGGATGCGTATTCCAACTTTGATCTTTCACGGCCCAGAATTTTCATTTCGGTGCATCCCTAATCGTCGCGATAAGTTTTACTTTTTCAAACACTCACATATGTGTTCAGCGACGTCTCCAGAGTATAACAATACCCCCATGTAAAGGTTTTTGGTGTTTTGGAAAGTTACGGGGTTAAATATAGGGCTTGCCAATTACATTTTCTGGACTGTCTGTCTGAGTTGTCAGACAGGTCCCTCAAATTATAATTACTTTTTATGTACTTTAGAAACTTTTATTTAACTTTTATTCAGGCACTAGGGGGACTGCCTGAGAGCTCAGGCAGGCCCCCTGCAGGCACTGCACAAGCCGGCTATTCCGGCCATGTGATCGCCAGCGATCCGGTATGTGCCGATTTACTAAATTATGTACCAGGTACGTCCGTGGTCGTTAACTAAGTTTTTTGGTGGACGTACCTCTTACGTCACCGGTCGGGAAGGGGTTAATATGTTTGTGTGTTATTATGAGTGCTTGTATGTTTCGTCACATGATTTGGTTTTATTTATTTATTTGACTGTGTCACCGTAATCCTTTATGAAATGATCACATGTACTTGTGCCAAGTAAAAATAAAGCTTCTTTTTTCCTTTTGGAAGTGTTTGTCCTGTGTAGGGATCCCAGCCACAGAGTTTATAAAGACAAGAGCAATCACATTGCAGGTAGCGGTGCATACCTGCCTGGAAGGAAAGCTGCAAAGGAATAGGCAGAGCGGACGATACCTGCCTGGTGGAAGAACTGCAGAGGAAAAGGCAAGGGGACAATACCTGCCTGAAAGGAGAGCTGCAGCCTGGTTGTGCGGAATGACTCCAGAGAGACCCTAGTCAAGCCTCGGCAACTGGGGTTCAAGCGTTCCAGGGTCCCTCCCCAACGGCTAGGAAGCAAATTGGGAAGAGGTACTCAGTCGAGTACAGGAGCTCCGTCACAGCTAGTATAACTGCACATTGTGCACTGCTCACCAGCTGCAATTTTTGTATATTTTCCCTTGGAATTCTTAAGTGATTTTATTATTGAGAATTTGTATATTTACCCACTTACCAGTTTTCTTCTTCAAGGACTTTCATTTCAGTTTTGGAATCATGTACCCAGTGAATTATTCATTTTTTAGACTTTAGACGTGGGATTATTGCACTTTATATTGGGGAAGCAACAGATTACATTTATTTTGACTACAGTGGAGATTTGCCAAACCCTATTATACAATTGATATTGAGCACTCTCAGCCTACCAATCCCTGCTATTATTGGTAAACTTTGTTATAGTATATAGAAGAGCAACTCTTTAAAAAGTAATTCTGTCAGAAGGGACCAGGCTGTTGAGTTAAAGTTGTTATGGTACCTAGAGTGTCCCTTTAAAAGTCTCTTTTTGATACATTCTTGGACACTTGCATACACAAATTGTATATATATTTCAGACTGACAAGATGATGAATATCAAAATGGAGGCAAATGTGCTTTATAATATTTTGTGTGCCAGTTTATAATGACAATGTAAGGTTATATTAGGCTTGTGAGTTTATGGTTTAATTTAGAGTTGGGTTATGTTAGTTCATCAGGTAAGGATTTGGTTTAGGGTTATGGATGATGGAGTAGTAATAAAGGAGATTGATGCAGGAGATTGATGCAGGAGAATGAAACTTCCATAATCCTCAGTCTGGCTGAGAATGCCAACAGTGAAAATCCACACCATCCCTGTATCGTCTGGGGTAAACAATAAAGTCAAGGCATAAGGGAACAATGATAATGAGTGTGTGTATTGAGTTGCTACGATTATGTGTAAACTGGAAATAATTCAGCATTGGGGAAAGGGAAAAAAAATCCCTTTCATTACACGCCTTGATATCAAAATCAATATTGACTGACCTAGTTGGTCCTATAGCTGAAAATCTGCAGGCTATTAGGAGGTGCTTGTGGCAAAAGCCTAATAAAAGTCTCTCTCTCCTTATTCCTTCTCTACACTCCTTCTTTGTAGATGTCAGAAACATAATCTCTCAAATTGTGAGGACAAAAAAGTCTAGGCTTAAGAAATGCACATTTCTAAAAATGTCATTGAAAATTTGGAAAAAAAAAAACCTCTCTTTTATCCTTTAATTTTAACTAGGCACACTTCTAAATAAAAAGGTATATTATCCTGGGAAAACAAAATCGCAATCCAGTATGAATTAGGGGAATGGCTTAGTCCCCTCAAGATTGCATGTTATGAATGCTAACTTGTCTTAAGAATGCTGGAGAGGTTTTCCCTTAGTTAATTAAGTTTTGGAAAACATATTCACAAATTAGTAAAAATGGTTGATCTTAACTTAACTGTGTTTATATCAAAACTAAGCTTTTTTTTTTTTAAAAGAAATTCCCATTACCCAGATACTATAAATAATCTACTATTCCCTCTATTAAAGAAGTACTTAAATTAAGTTTTGGAAAATGAGAGGTATGAAATGGCTTTGAGACAACCATCACCATTTCTTGATCAGCCTAAATATTATTGGTCTAAGTGGGAAGAAGATGTTAAAAAAATATATGGTTTATAATTTTAAATGTGAAACTTTATTGTAAAGATAATACACTGCCTGGCCAAAAAAATAAGTCACCACAAAAAAAAAAAAAAAGGTCACAAACTAATATTTTATTGGACCGCCTTTAGCTTTGATTACGGCACGCATTCGCTGTGGCATTGTTTTGATAAACTTTTGCAATGTCACAAGATTTATTTCCATCCCGTGTTGCATTCATTTTTCCAAGATCTTGTATTGATGATGGGAAAGTCGGACCACTGCGCAAAGCCTTCTCCAGCATATCCCAAAGATTCTCAATGGGGTTAAGGTCTGGACTCTGCGGTGGCCAATCCATGCGTGAAAATGATGTCTCATGCTCCCTGAACCACTCTTTCACAATTTGAGCCCTATGAATTCTGGCACTGTCATCATGGAATATGCCTGTGCCATCAGGGAAAAAAGATGGTATAACCTGGTCATTCAGCTGACATTATTTGGGCACATAATGTTGCTGAACCTAGACCTGACCAACTGCAGCAACCCCAGATCACTGTCCCCACAGGCTTGTACAGTAGGCAGGATTTTTTTCCGACCACATTTCTTCCTCAAAGACGATGGTTCCCAACTATCCTTCCAGTTTTTAATAATGCTTTGGACAGTTCTTAACCCAATTGTAGTAGTTTCTGCAATGTTTTCTCTGCTTGATGCATGCCAATGATTTGACCCTTCTCAAACAGACTAACATCTTTTCCACGACCACAGGATGTGTCTTTCGACATGGTTGTTTAAGAAATGAGGAAACTCTTACCCATTTAATTAAACCCAGGTAGCGATTTTTTTTTTTTTTTGGCCAGGAAGTGTATAATATGGTACAATATTTTTCATTATGATGGACATATTTCTTTTGTCTGATAAATATGTTATTGTTTAAAGCATATACTGTGAATTTATATAATTTTGGATGGATGTTTCTCTTCCCTCATTTTGTTATTAATGTTTTTGTCATTATAAAATGATTTGAAAAATTTTAATAAAAGCTATCTGGAAAAAAAAGTAAAAGTATGCACAATTTTTAATGCACTTGAGCAAGGCAGGAAACATAACAAGTATTCATATTAGGTGGTTTGTGTTTTTTTTGTTTTACTCAGTCTCTAAAATCCTACCTCTTCTGGAAGTGTTTTGTCTTGCATTAATCTCTTTGTTCATGCTATGGTGTTTCCAATTAAATACTTTTAACAGAGAGGCATTGTAGACAACAGGCAACACACTTTTAGACAAAATTTGAGACTGCAGGTCGCATGATCTATGCAGTAAGAGGACATTCTTAGCACCAAAACAACTTCAGCTTAATTAAGCTAATGCCGCTGTAGTCGTTCCGCTCAATTCTCAGTTGTATTGGCATTAAATCACTTTGCTTATACAGCCCTGACCATCTCACAAAGCTTCCCTACAAACTTCACGAAAAAGAGCTCAAATCTCTGAGTCTTTGATCCTCCCTTATTGCACAGTGTGCGTAATTTAAAAGCACTTACATCCTTGTCTATTAATTACCTGCTAGAGTCTACAGCAGCATCCTATTTGTGATTATAGTTCAATTAAAGGGACAGTATAGGCACCCAGACCACTTCAGCTCATTTAAGTGGTCTAGGTACAGTGTCCAAGCCCCTTAACCCTACAATTGTAGTTTTTGATAAACTGCAATAATTACCTTGGAAGGTTAAAGGGACTCTCTAGTGCCAGGAAAACAAATCTGTTTTCCTGGCACTGCAGAATCTGCAGTGCCCCCCTCCCTCCCACCATCCCGTGTTGCTGAAGGGGTTAAAACTCCTTCAGTGACTTACCTGAATCCAGCACCGATGTCTCTCGGCGCTGGGTCAGGCTCCGCCCACACTTCCCCCCTGATGGGGGAGACCAAATGCGCATGTGTGGCAATGGCTGAGCGCACGCATTAGACCTCCCCATAGGAAAGCATTATTCAATGCTTTCCTATGGGGATTCCAGCGACGCTGGAGGTCCTCATGCATAGGACCTCGATGACATCCTGCGTCATCTAAAAAACACTTTTCGGGTCTTAAGAAGCCGGAAGTCCCTCTTGTGGTTGTCTGATAGACAGGCACTAGAGGAGGACTTAACCCTGCAAGGTAATAAATACAGTTTATAAAAACTGCAATAATTACACTTGCAGGATTAACGGTGATGGGAGTTGGCACCCAGACCACTCCAATGGGCAGAAGTGGTTTGGGTGCCTGGAGTGTCCCTTTAACTCAACATCTAGACTTGGTCACCGGGCGTCCGCACGCTTTGCATGAGGACATCCAGCCTCACCCCAAACCCCATAGGAAACCACAATACAATATTTGCCTACGAGGGGGGCCTAATGCAACTGCCGGCTGATAACAAGAGGAGCGCAGGCAGAGCCTGAACCAGCACCAAGGGACATGAGCGCTGGCATCAGGCAAGTGATAAAGGTTTGTTTTTCCTCACTGAGGCAGTGTGAAGAAGGTGTAGCTAGAGCTGCACAAGCAAACAACTATAGTTTTAAAAAAATTAAAAATAAAAATTACACATTTAAGGCCTGTAGGTTCCCTTCCGTTCACCCTGTTTGAGTTTAAAATTTTAAGTTACATAAATATTACTAGTCGGGACTCCATATCACCCGTCTACAGCTTCTGCTTCGAAGATGTCAGTATATCTGCCGATATCTTCACAATCTCCTCCGAACCATTGCTTCTCATTGATTAGAGGTATGCATGCACATCCAAAAGCCACACTCCTCCAATCAATGCTATCAGCAGTATTTCATTTGCAGGCTCCTTTTACTCTCTCTGAAGGAAGGCAGCCAGTAGAGGTGGATTTGACTTTGCAAAGTAAACATTGCAGTTTCTAAGTTGTACACTGTAGAGTTAAAACTAAAGGACCACTACACCCAGATCACCTCATGGAGTTTAAATGTTTTGGCTGACTAAGGTACCTTTAAGCTACAGTAGTTTTTAATGCTTGAATTTATCCTATTGGGGAAGTTATGCAAATCACGTAGGGAAAAACAGACAAAACGCCTCTATGTATTACAATAAAGATAAAGAGACCATGCTTTTTAATATACACACTCTGGAATTTTATCCAGGTGTATCTGGATATTAAAGTGCAATGTGTAGAATATGTTAAAACCGAAGCTTAGTTCTAAGTAGGGCATAGTTTAGCCAATTAACGCTACATTGCCTCTTCACTTTTACAGGGAACGGTTAAAAACCATGTTGGAAAGGAATCTGTAGACTACAATATTCAGTTTTTATATAGCATTGTTGTGGTATTTTTTCCAAATTTCACATTAAAATTTTATTGTCTTGTTGAGGTGTACAGAAACTCACATGCTAAATGGTGTTGGCAAAATAAACATATATATTAAATACATTTTAAATACTTCTGAACAATCTTTGCATTTGGTAGAATATATATTAACCTCTTTAAGACCGATGCCTTGCCAATACAGTCATGTCAGAGATGTGCATGATCCAACCACTTACAAAATGTGTTAATATACTTTATACCATACATTTGTGGCTGTTTTAACTTCATATTAATGAATTCAAGAAAAGAGAAAAAAAAAAAAAAAACTAACTGAAAAATCACCAATACTTTAAGATGAATTGGAGCCAGAACTAGGAGAAAATTGTTAAGTTTTATTAGAAAGATGTGAAATGTTCTGTTTGCAGGAAAGAATTTATGAAAATGTAGAGCATCATACACAAGCAGGTACTTCACGTGAGGTTAGTATATTTGTATTGCCCTGATCATGTGCTATATAAATCTAACAAAGGATAGCATTGTTGTTCTCCACAGTCCTATGCTACCAGGTACAACTAGTAGTAGAATACCGCAATGCAGCTGTTAGCATATCACAACTACCATGGCCTCCTTTCTATCAACAAGCTCTCTTTTCAGCTGTCAAAAGGTTTAGTAGGAGAGGTTTTACAACAGAGGGATGTGCATAATTTAAACACTGGATGATTCAGTGCTGTGCACTGGGCTACAAAACAAGGCATTCTTCAAATCAAGCCAATATTCAGAACTCTCATCACATAAATGGTTAGTAGCAAACAGCGCGTCAATGGTTTAGAACTATAAAATCCCTTATTCTTTCCCATCATATAGCTGGAAAGCTACTTGCTGGCTACACCAATATAAAAAGAGTTCTGATTGACAGCCAAGCTTTTTTTTGAATATTTTATAGGACACAAAAAAAATGTTTTAGTGCCAGTGTTTTAAATGGTCAGATACACATCTCCAACCCTGAATTTTACAATGTAGTGAGCTGCATTTATCTGCTAAACTTTCTGAAAATCATCAGATAAGCAGAAAACCCTGGTTCTTACTGACCTCAAAGCGGATCCAGTAGCATATTTTTAGCCCATGCCCTCTGATTTAATGGACTTACACAAGTGTCAAAGTACCATTTATCTTCCAGTTTGCCATCTCTCTTGGGCAGGTCTACCATGGTTATAATGCTAGGGAGGATGTGTTTTAAATATATCTTGCAATATGTAAGCAATTACAGAATGGTGCTCACTTTTGCCAGGAAAAGAACCTGAAACCCTGAGATTTGAATAGATTCTGCCACAGGTGAATTTTCAGTTTATTAAATGCCCCAACAGTAGTTTTGGTTGGGTACACATTCTTAATCAAAGTTATTCAAGACCAAAAAAAAAAAAAGAATGCAACCTATAGGGTGTATTAATGATTTAGTGATTTTTCATTTTATAACAAGTAAATAATTGTAACTGGATTAGATTACGAAAAGATAAAATGACTACTGGTAACTGAATACCAGTTGTCCCGTTGTCTATGGGAATTGGGTAATAATTTACCAGAGACAGGCTTACCTACTAAAATCTAGCCTGAAGTGTAAATAGCCTTTAATGGAACACTCAAGGCACCATAACTACTTAATCAAAAGGAAGTTGTTCCGGTGCCAGGTCGCCTGATGTTTTCTTACCTGATAGAGATATATAAATAAAATTTAAAGTACTTAGAACTGGATTTAAACCCTCCAGGTAAGTAGCACCCAGCAACCTACGGCACCAGAATAACAAATCACAGAATATAAAAACAAATGTTTTACGACGTTTCCAAAATTATGCAGGATTTTATAAATTTTTAAATATTAATACTGCAACCAAACTAGAGAATCTTCTAGGATTTATGCCATTTGTTTTTTTTTTTTTTTTACTCTTTATGAAGAGATATCCTTGCTAAAATGTCTAATAAGAATCTCACTAAATACAAGTCCCACTATATGTGAGCGCCAAAGCTGCTGGGAGCAGAGACTAAGTTGGTTTTACCAAGTAATTATTGACGACATTTAGTCATCATCGTTCCCTGCTAAACTAAGAGGAATCGCATATTTTGAGTCACAATAGCTAAACCTCAGCTACTGTGACACAAAACATGCAATTCCACAAAATTCCCAGTTAGTGAATACGCACTTATGTTAGGTTAGATTATTCTAAAATGATTCAGATTATTTTCAGAATATCTCCAAAATATTCCGGAGTTTTGAGATCTCCCCCCCCCCTCCCCCCCCTTATATATCAAATCCCTCATTCAGATGGACTTGATATGCTGTGCTCTATTAATACATCATTGTGCTCCTTTGCTAGAACTATTCTGTTTATTTACAGCTGTATATTTTTCAATATCACAAAGCAATCTCAAACAAAATGGAACTGGAGGCTTATTGGATTGATATGGCTTGGGTAGGGGTGGAGTGGGACAATTACCTAAAATAATGTTTCCTCTATATGATTATATAGTGATTTTCTTACTTTATGTGGTAGTGTTTAGTTCCCTATCAACCTACTGGAATCAGATGTAATTCGTCTGGGGGGGGGAGTGGAGCCATACATAGCTTTGAGATCTATAATTTCAAGCTCCTTTGTTTTTGTCTTTTTTTATTTTAGATTCAGTTTGCCATTTAAGTTAATGCTAATGAATATGTATTAAATGTTGATGTAAATTGAAGTTCCTTGTGTACGGTTACTCAAACTTTGCTCAGAAACACACAACAAAAATCAGATTTAGCCCATTTTATTTACATGTTTTGTACATTTCAGAGCAATACACAATTAAATTTTTTCATATTTTCTGACCTGCAAACATAGCAAAAAAAATAAAAAAAATTAAAAATAATGCAGTTGCGGGGGGAGAGACATTTCACCTGTAACAAATTAACACATCTGACTATTCAACAGAATGTACTCCCAGTCAAGAGCATATGGCATGCAGGAGAAAAAAAAAAATTATATATAATGGTTTAAGTTAACTTTTTAGCTGGTCAGCTTGACCATGCTGGATTTTTAAATCCTGGTCTGGTATATATTTTGTTCTCTGCACAAAAGTTACAATGTAAAAAAAAAAATAAAAAAAAAAAAAATAAATAAAAAATTTAAATTGTCATAATTAAATAAAAGTATATATAGGTTGGCACCCCCTCTGAGTATTAAAAGCATATTCCATAGAAACAGATGTTTAAGTTAGAACAGCTTTCTGAATGTGTTTAAATGGTTTCTTAAACATTTTGAAGAAAAAAAAAAAAAAAAATAATGCAGGCCTATATAAACAGTGAATTAGTGACTACAACTAGTTGTGTTTGTGAGGAGTGTAACAATGTCATCTTAATCGCAAACCTGAATACTTAAGGACTAATTTATACATTTACTAAAACCAAGTGATTCTTGCAACAACGGTAAGATGACATGAAATGTTCGACTATCACAAAAGAATGCCAGTGGGCCATTTAAGAAACAATGGCTCAACTCCAGCCAAAATATTGTCCTGGAAAGTATATCTGAACTAATCTATAAAAATGTTACAGAAACCTGCAAACTTGCCTACCTTACATGTGATGTTCACGTTTCAAATTGTGTCAGTAGAGCCCGCACCTCTGGAGTGAGCTGTTTGGCAGCCTTTGCTGCCTCTGTGATGGCCTTTCGGTAAAGGCCCTTTCTCTTCTTGTTAAAGCGGGACTGGAAGTTTTCTAAAAATGGGGAGAGCTGTGACAATGCAAGGAAGGACGTTGTTGGGGACCCAAACCATGATATGCGAGCCTCCTGACGCACCAGCAGGCCATTATCTTTTCGACTGACAGTTATAGAGTGAATGCGGGCAGGCCACCATGGGAAGCCATAAATCTTGGCCCATACAATGTCCCCAACACATATGGTCCTGCCATCAGGGGTCACACATTTAGTAACATTTTTGGAAAACACCTTTACTTTCAAGGAATTACTCAGCTTTTTCTCTTCTTTTGAAGAGGAGGAAGATGATGAGGAAGGTGTGTGCATGCTGCCTGGGGGGAAATCAAAGTTTTCAGTAGAACTACACTCAGAGTGGGAGGATTTCAAATCATCTGTGCTATCACTACTACACACTGATGCAGTGGAAGAGTCAGCTTTTGTTTGATTTAAGGTCATGTAAACTGTGATATTGCTTTTGCTGCCTCTTTTGCTCAGGGTTTGCTGCTCATCCTGCTCGTCAGGTGGTACACAGACACTTGTTTCCTGAATCTCACTGCTGGCCTCTTCCGGGCCATTTGAAGGACTCTGTATTTCTGAGGAGACCTCACCTGCTGAACGGGTGGCAGAGTAGCGTGTCTGGGGCTTGATGCCAATCTTGGCGCTTCGCAATGACTCAAGTCCAGTCTTCAATGAAGAATCATTCTCTTCATTTCTGTACCTTTGAGGCTTAATGCGTAGTCTAGGTGGAAGGGTCCCTGAGCTTGTGTTCTGAAGGCGCCTCGTAAAGTGGACTTTACCATGTGCATTTTTGGAGGCAGAGGTTTCTTTTCGTCGCTTGTGGGCCTTCTCTTTGGCCATTTTTAAAACTTCCCGAGCCTTTGCATGATCCATATTTTTGCTCTGAAGTGGCGTTTTTGTTGAACCAGTTTGGGAAGTCATCTTCACAACCTTTCCACGGCTGTGATTTAAGTTTGAAACCTTGGACACAGCATTTCTTTTCTGGCTTTCACTTTGACTTCTCCCATTTACTTTATGATCGGTTTTGAGTTTTTTATTCACAGTAGTTACACTTTCATGCCTTCTCCGCTTTCCCTGTTCTTGCTTAAAAGAATCATTCCCACTTTTCCTTATATCACTTCTATCTGAAACAACATTTTTACATTTATCACACAAGACTTGTCTAGGTCGTAGCTTGATAGCATTCATAATTGAAGTGGGTTCTTCCCTGTAGATTTTCTTTTTGAGTCTTTTTATTTTACGTGGAGGAGGCTGAGGTATTGACTGGTTGTAAGTGTCCCTGATAAATAGAGGTGGTGGATATGGTGCTCCTTCATGAAAAAGAGGTGGTGGCTTTGAAGTCCATAGGTTTTCAGTTTTGCATGGTTCAGAGGGCTCAGTGGGAGCAACATCCTCGGTATCCCTTCTGTTCTCTGCACACTTTTCCTGGGCCTCTTCTGGGAATGGAGGAACGGGCTCCTCTGGTCGGTTTTGGTACACTCTCTTTGGGTGAATGGTCACAGGTATACCATGAGGTCCAAATCTTAAACAAAAGAATAATTAAGCAGTTAGTAAGGTCTACTGTTCAGTATACATTTCAAATAATCTAGTACTGAAATATTCAGAAAGTATCCAACCATCTAAAAATCAGTTTGAAGAATTTGAAGCAATTGTAGCTTGAAAGTTAAATAGAATATGCAGTTTTGATGTATAGATCATGCCCCTGCACTCTTGCTGCTCAATTCTCTGCCATCCAATAGTTAATTCACCATTACTCTAGTCATACAGCTTTCCTGAACACTTCCTGTAAAGAGCTAATGTTTAAACTTTATCAAAACGGTCCATTTAATTTAGCATTTCTTATCTCCTGTTCTGTTAATAGCCTTTTAGACTTTGCCTGAGATTAAAATTAGATTTACAGAGCAGAAAAAAAATAAATCCTAAATCTAGACTGATCGACTGCAACATTAAAACCACTGACAGGTAAAGTGAACAACAGATTATATTGTTACAATACAACCTGTCAATATTCGAAGGGGGTGTTAATATATTGATCAGCCACAACATTATGCGTTTAATTTTTGGGGGTGGACTTGTACGCCGGCACATAAGTACAGTACATTAGTCTGAATCGGCACATTTTTATCGGTTACAGTAAATTAATAACTGCGTCTGACTCTACAGTACTGGTAAGCTTAGAACTTTTTGAAAACATATTTAAAGGGTTACTCTAAACACTACAACTACTTCAAATTTCTGAATTGTCATGGTATAAGGACCCTGTATGCTTAGATATTTTATATTGCAGTCAGATCTGTAACTACCTCAGGCAGCATGTTTAGTCAGCCAGGAATGCGCATATTCCATGCACAGACCGTTATTGTTTGGCTGAGAGGGCTGTCTTGAACCTGGATCCAATGAATGACCAGGAGGATTGGCAGCTGGCTTTTGTAGCTCTGAATGTCATTCGGCCGCAGGAGGCACAGCATCTGGCAGGACCCATGTAGGAAGCAAACTGAAAAGACCCCGGTGAGGTCTCCCTGCTTGTCCCCTGCTGCAGAATCAGAGACTTTGCCAGCTGTGCAGCACTGATCGGTGTGAAGGAGTTGCAACATGAGAGGGTGTCCGCAGTAGTGGGACACTGCATGAATTTTCCAAAATAAACATTAAAAATAATAATTTGACCTAGGTTTGTCATAAAATGGTGAAATGAAGTGTGTCAAAATGCTCTTACAATTACATAGCCTGAAGGTTTACTTTCTTCAAATATATACTTGTGTAGCGGTTTTGGATTCTGTGACAGGTAGAAAAAGTTGTAATCTCAGCATGCCAACTATTGCAAAGTTAACATTAAAACCATGATTTACGCCTTGAGTGTTTTAGAACTTCAAAAATTAACTGAAATCCTAGAAATACTGGGTATTTTAAAAGGGACACTATAGTCACCAGAACAACTACAGCTTAATGTAGTTGTTCTGGTGAGTATAACTGCTCCCTTCAGGCATTTTCATGTAAACACCTCCAAGTGGCCACTAGAGGGGTTTCCAGACTTGGGGATGCACAGTAAGCAACCCTGCCGTTCTGCGTTCCTGTGCTCTGCATGGAGATGCTGAATTTTCCTCATAGAGATGCACTGATTCAATGCATCTCTATGAAGAGGTGCTGATTGGCCAAAACAGCATTTGGCCCCGCTCCTTTGCCAATTTTGCCCATGGGCAATTTTGATGATGTCACCAAGGCGGCGGGGCCAGCAGACCCATGAGAGCTGGAAATAAGGCAAGTTTTAACCATTCTCAGAGGGCTAAAGAACCTAAATAGTGGGTTTTCACTATGTAGTCAGGAATACGTTTGTGTTCCTGACCCTATAATGATCCTTTAACCCCTTAAGGACTGAGCCAAATGTACACGCTGTGATCAAAACAAATAAAATCTTGAATATGCGCTACGTCTGTTCAGGCGTAATTCACCTCTTTCATATTATGTGCACCCACACTTCTTATATATAATTTTATTCAGGGGAAACAGGGCTTTCATTTAACATCAAATATTTAGGTATGACACAATTAATTATGAATAAAATATTTTTAAAATGGGACAAAAGATTTTTTTAGTTCTACGTGTCATTTTAACTGTGAATGTCATATGTTTGCTTTTACTGCAATAAAACAAACAATTGTATTCAGCCATGTCTCATGTGTAAAACAGTACCCCCATGTACAGGTTTTATGGTATTTTGGGAAGTTACAGGGTCAAATATAGCGTGTTACATTTTTCATTTTTTTCCACATTGAAATTCACCAGATTTGTTAGGTTGCCTTTGAGACTGTATGGTAGCCCAGGAATGAGAATTACCCCCATGATGGAATACCATTTGCAATAGTAGACAACCCAAAGTATTGCAAATTGAGTTTGTCCAGTCTTTAGTAGCCAAACACTGGCCAAAGTTAGTATTAATATTTTTGTGTGAAAAAATGCAAAAAACTTATTTGAACGCCAATTTTGACTACTATTTGCGAATTTCAATGTGAAAAAAATGAAAAGGAAGCCTTATATTTGACCCTGTAACTTTTGAAAACACCATAAAACCTGTACATGAGGGTACTGTTATACTCGGGAGACTTCGCTGAACACAAATATTAGTGTTTCAAAACAGTAAAAAGTATCACAATTATATTGTCCGTGTAAGTGCCGTGTGTGAAAAATGCAAAAAAAAGTAAATTTCACTGACAATATCATCGTAGTACATTTTACTGTTTTGAATCCCTAATATTTGTGTTCAGCAAAGTCTTCCAAGTAAAACCGTACAGATTTTATGGTGTCTTAGAAAGTTACAGGGTTAAATATAGTGCAAGCAAATTAAATTCCCTTGACTTTTGGCCTGGGTTGTCAGGCAAATAGTAATTATATATATAAAAACAAAAAAAACAAAAAAAAACAAAAACAAACCACATACACTCTATTTCGGTTATGCCGTCCATGTGATTGCGAGGTCCTCACATGGCCCAGTAGGGCCGGAACGGCAGCAGGGGGACTCCCTGGAATGCCAGGTGAGTCCCCCTCACCGCAAACGCCTGCAACCGGGTAAGTACAGACAGTCCCCCTGCAGACAGACACTAGGACACCTATTGTGACCACTCCGTTGAGTGATCACATGGCCCCAGGGGTCCTAATCCGCCATGGGGAGACTGTCTGGGCTGCAGGCAGTCTCCCCACACCGGGAGCACCGCCGGGGGAACGACGGCGATCGGGTAAGTACATCTTACCGTTAGGACTGTTCAGGACCGTCAGCGGTTGGCAATGCAAAAATGCTGATGACTGTCCTGAACCGTCCTCTGTCCTTAAGGGGTTAATAGTTCCGAAGCCAGACTCATTTCAGAGATCTATTATTCAAGAAGTCTGTCAATCATCACATAGTTAACTGCTAAGAGGTTGTTACAAGCAAGTAAGGCTATCCAACTGTGAACCTTCATTCCATTCAAATACTTTTAAAGTTAGTAAGGGAATGAGGAGTTTAACAAAAAAAATAAAAATTAAGATAATCTTTAAGCACCACTACAGCAAATTGTAGGACTTATTGACCAAGAACTCAAATGCCCCCATTTCCACGGAGCGGTACGGTCTGGTAAGCTATTTTGAGTGTTTGCATTATGAAAGTGGCGCCCATACAACCGTATGTTCTAAGGTATGGATCAGGAAAGTGGCATCCATGAAATTCGCCAGATTGGTTACGTTGCCTTTGAGACCCTATGGTAGCCCAAGAATGAAAATTACCCCTATGATGGCATACCATTTGCAATAGCAGACAACCCAAGGTACTGCAAATGGGATATGTCCAGTCTTTTTTAGTAGCCACTTAGTCACAAACACTGGCCAAAATTGGCGTTTTTTGCATTTTTCACACAAACAAATATTAACGCTAACTTTGGCCAGTGTTTGTGACCAAATGGCTACTAAAAAAGACTGGACATACCCCATTTGCAATACCTTGGGTTGTCTACTATTCAAATGGTGTGCCATTATGGGTGTAAATTTCATTCCAGGGCTACTATACAGTCTCAAAGGCAGCGTAACCAATCTGGCGAATTTCAATTTCAAATGTAACGTGCTTTATTTGACCCTGTAACTTCCCAAAACACCATAAAACCTGTACATAGGGGGTACTGTTTTACACGTGAGACTTTGCTGAATACAAATATGTGTATTTTATTGCAGTAAAAGCAAACAGTATGACATTCACAGTTAAAATGTCATGTAGAACAAAAAAAGAAAAAAAATTCTTTATTTTCTCCCATATTAAATTATGTTTCATAGCTAAAGATTTGATATTAACCCCTTAAGGACACATGACATGTGTGACATGTCATGATTCCCTTTTATTCCAGAAGTTTGGTCCTTAAGGGGTTAAATGAAAGCCCTGTTCACCCTGAATAAAATGATATACAATAAGGGTGGGTGCATTTAATATGAAAGAGGTGAATTACAGTTGGACAGACATGTAGCACAAATGCCAGGTTTTGTTTACGTTTTGTTCACAACGTGTACATTTGGCTCAGTCCTTAAGGGGTTAACAGATTACTCAGACTCCCCAGGCTGAAGCCAGAAAAATTAAAGAAAATAATGTCCCTCTGATGTATCAATTTGCAGAAGAAATGCACCATTTTGTTGAATAAATCTAAAGTTCCCATCCTGATCCATACCTTAGAACAATCCTGACTTCCAGATTCTTTGCAGCAAGAGTCACAAATATGGCATAAATTAACAAATATGCCCTAAGTGCAGATTTTTCAAATTATACAGCTCAATCTCAAAAAACTTTATGCACATCAGATAGCAGGAATAGAATAAAAGTTAGGGATCAACTGATTTTTTTTTTTTTTTTTTTAGAGCAGATACTGCTAATTTGTGAACTTTTAGGTCAATAACTTACCATTTAAAAATAAACTATTTCTACACAAATCTACTGTTAACTGAACAAGTTTATTTTTTGCAAAAAAATAAATAAATTTTTATTAAGGTAAATGCACAAAATATACATGCCAGTCAGAATTTATGTTTCCAAGAACATGTGTGTGGGGTGGATGCAGTGAGAGTATTTGATTAGTGGATGCAGTGTGTATGTGTTTGTGTAGTGTGTATAGTGAATGCAGTATTTATAGTGAATGCAGAGTGTGTGTGTACTGTGTATGGTGAATGCAGAGTGTGTGTTAGGTGTGTAAAATTAGGTTTTAGTCCCCCCCCCCCCTTCCTGCTCCTTACCTGGCCAGGGAGTGGGGATATGGCATTCCCTGGGGAGCCCAGCACACTAACTTACCTTCCCTGTCTGTCTAACTCTCGCAGCCTGTGTGCTGCATTGTCATGGTAACCTGTGGCAAGGCTCTGACGGCCGCAGGACTTGCGAGAGAGACAGGGGAGCAGCAATAATCAGTATCTTTATTGGCATATAACGATATTGCTGAAAACACAGAATATGGGCCAGACTGATAATCAATCACTAATAAATGTAAAATTGTATTATTGGATTGTATGAATGTTAACCACTATATTTAAGAAGTATCGGATTCTTGAAAAGTAGCTCAAATACAAACATTTAGCAGTAGGGATCGACCGATATTGATACATCTGAATTTTCAGGCCGATAGCTATCTCTCTCTGAGCATTTACCGTCAGTCCGGCCAGGTACAGGAAACTGAAGCTCCTGTACCGCGGTCCGCTCTGCTCCACTCGACCACGCTACATTAAGTGACTGGTAGGGCGAGCGCTGTGCACGTCCTTCCTGCCAGTCACTATTCTTGTGCCCCCAGAGCTGGTACGACCTAATGCAGCCGCATGTTCCGCTTTATGGAAACACCGGCCTTGCGTGCGCTGGGCCACTGCTGCCTCTTCCATTATCGCCAATATCGGTATCAAACATGGCAGACCCCGATATTTGCCAAAATCTGTAATATCGGCTGATAATATTGGTCTATCCCTATTTAGCAGGTGACCTATATTAGGCATTAAATATTTCATTAAAGCATAATGCCCGGTTAATTTCTAGACATGCCTAAACACCAAATGCAGGTAGGTCCCCTATCAATTTGTAGCGCACAGTGGCTAGTAATCTTAGGGATTTAAAGGAGGGAGGAAAAAAATGCTTCAGCTGTAAGACTTCTCTTTCAGACATGGATATACAAAGGACATCCAAGCTGTGGAAGTCTATCTTCTCTAGAGCCACATTTGCACTTGTTCAGAGACGCAGAGAATATATAAAAAAAAAAAAAATGCCCTCTTTCAAACATCAAAAAATTTAAATAGATACCACATATGTCCCATCAATGAAGACACAAGGATCACACTCACCCCTAAAGACAGGAGACAGTTGCATAGCTTAAAAAGCAGATTATCTGTTCTATCACAGAAACCACAATGACATGTTCAACTTTAGTTGCATTAAAGGGAGTAAAAGTGACACGCTGGGCACCAATATAGCTTTAATGCATTTAAATTGATTTTAGCTTTAAGTTTTTGGAACAAAAATGTTTGTTTTTTTGCGGGATGCTGCACTATGAGCCAGCTTCTAAGTTGCGCTCCTGCATTCCAAAAAAAAGACATCCTTACCACTTACACACAGACACAGTCCAGACACTTGCAGCTTTTATCCCTCAGTGCAGTCAGTCAATCAGCTTTCATTACAAAAAGAGGACACCCAGGCAGACACATGGTAAGGATATCACCAACTGTCTGTAGCCTGTCCTGCAAAGGTAGCATATTCCAAGACTCAAAGATATAATAAAACAAATTCTTCACGTCACAGCTTAGCTCAAAAATCTGATACTTTATCAGTTCCAAAATCGAAGCATAAAGCCAGGTTTAAAAAAAAAAAAAAAAAATCCAAATCCAATGTGTTTCCGGCTTGGTAAGGCATGTAAATACAGGTATACCAAAAACTGAATTCAGCACACCTTTTAATGATATACCACCACTTCCACTAACGACCTAACCACAGCCCAATTAAAAACCTTCCATGGAGAAACCTACAATTCTGTCCTACTCACACATTTTAGGTCACTGTCAATCATTGTTACAAGCTCTGCCCCTTGCAGTCAGCACAAATAAAGTATTATACATACAAAAGAAGAGAAATCAAACAATGTCTATTGCTCATCGTTTGCAATGATTACCCTGGCTGTCTCGTCGGAATTGGATTAGGACATAACTTGCTAAAAAAAAAAAAAACCACACTTTAAAAAGTAACACTAACATGAGGAATACAAACATGTATTCCTAACACAGGAGGGTTTTGCTATTTAAACCCATGACCCCCTACTATATAGCAAAATAAACTGTTTTACTTTCCTTTTGTCCACCAGGGAGCAAGCCCCACTGCACTTCTTCCCCGGCGAAGATCATGATTTCAAACAATCTCGGCCGACCTAATTTTGCTAAATGCCGTGCTTCCCCAATCACCATCAAATTATAGGAGGGAGCATTTGGCATCTTCATGCAGTTGTCTACTGTAAAGTAAGAGCTGACCACAGCACAGCTCCCTTGCGGTTGCGGTACTCTGTGACTCATAGTGCAGGTTGGGAAAACTGGCAGACACGCTCTAAAAATCGACTAAGCAAATACTGCAGCCATTTAAGAATTGCATTTTACTCATTGAAAATGACTGGCTCCTAGATTCCAAACAATTTGTCAAGCCCTGCGCTACGTTCACACCATCAAGTGAGTCACTTCCACATCAATTTAAAAAAAAAAACACTGCTTACTTGATTCTGAAAAAGACCATGGTGGTCAAAACATCAGTCACTCCCCAGAACTCAGTCTCTAGGAGACTGATTGAAAGAGTTGAATTCAGCTATTTCTGCTGAGGTGCCTTGAGTGGCTGTCAGCTACTATAGACATTTAAACCCTGCAATGTAAACATTGATATTTCTGCAGAACACCAATGTTTTACATGGTAGGGATGAAACTAGGATAGTGCATGTAGACCACTTTATTGAGAGAAGTGAGTATAATGTCCTTCACTATAAATTTATGCTGCACTGTGACCAAAGTATCCAACGATTTAATTGCTGCTAAATCTCTGCCATTACTCTATCTTAATGCTCCTTAATCTTTCTGCGGCCTTTGACACTGATCATCAGCAGCTTCTCTGCATTCTCCATAATTTTGGTCTACGGGATACTGCTTTCTCCTGGTGCTCCTCCTATCTCTCCCAGTGCTCTTTCAGTGGTTTTCTCAGACTCTTCCCCCCAACCACTCTGTCGGTGTCCCCCAAGGTTCTGTCCTTGGTCCCCTACTGTTCTCTATCTATAACTCCTCCCTTGGTAAACTCATCAGCTCCTTTGGCTTCCGTTATTTCTATGCAGATGACACGCAAATCTGCCTGTCCTCTCCCTGCCCATCTTGACTCGTGTCTCTGACTCTCTGCGATTTCCAACTGGATGGCTGCTCACTTCCTTAAACTCAACCTGTCCAAAACACAATTTATGGTCTTTCCTCCCTCAAGTGTTACCACTCCCGTGTCTGTCTAACTCCAAGTCAACGGCGCTACCATCACCTCTACCTTGCAGGCTCACTGCCTGGGTGTTCTTTTTGACTCCCAACTTCTTCACCCCTCATGTCCATACTCCCACCACTAATGCGCGCCTCCAAGATTTATCCAGGGCTGCACTTCCTCTGTGGAACTCCCTTCCCTGTAAGACGTTCACCCAGTATCCACTCGTTCAAAAAGATAATTGAAAACACTTCAAGAAAGCATATCAATTAAACTTTTAGCAGGTTTTTATCCCGCACTTCAATACTTCACTAACAACCTACTTCATACCCCTACTTTTACCCTTTGTGTCACTATTCCCCACTCCCTCTAGAATGTAAGCGCATTGAGGAGGGCCCTCCACCTCTGTTCCTGTACATCCAGTTGTCTGGTTACAGTTACATGTATGTTAGTCCACCCATTGTACAACGCTACAGAATCTGATGGCATTTTATAAATAAAATAATGTCCCTTTAAAAGGAGGGTAAAAATAAAAAAATAAAATGTCAGGAATACAAACCTGTCACTACATACAGGCTCCCTCCTCCCATTTTATGAAAATAAATTTATGATTTTACTTACTTTATTACAATGCCAAGACATGTTGGAGACCTCCCACGAGGTCACAAAACAGGCATGGACGCCAATTCTATGCTCCTCACACAAGCACATCTCAGTTTCCCCATAGGCGAGCATTTAAGCAATGCTTTCCCACAGGGGCTTCCACATCACAAGAGAGTGTTTTTCTGTCAGTGCCACGGAAGCATCTGTATTGTATGACAGCCACCAAAGGGGGATTTAACACTGCAATGCAAACAATGCAGAGTCATGAAGACAGGGTAATGCACCCAAGCCACTTCAATTCCCCTGCATAATCCTACTGCAGTCTGTTTAAGTTAGAATCTCTTAAAGGAACACTATTAAGTTAGGAACAAAATTATTTACTTACAATTTCTCCCTTGCAACGCTGATCTCTTCTGGGAAGCTCCACCTCTTTACTGAGATCAGCAACATGACCTCAGCCAATCCAATGCTTTACTATGCATTGGGAGGCTGGTGCACATGCACTACAACAGAAGCACCTCTAATGGCTGTCAGTATGACAGCCACTAGAGGTAGGCTAACACTGCAACGAAAACATTGACTTTGATCAAATTGTTTGCGCCTCCTCTGATTTCATGTCATATCCCCTTTTCTTTCTCCCTGCATTTCAGCCAGACTGTCCATGCTCCAGTGATTCTCTATGAGAATCCGTAATGACACTCCTTACTCTGCATGCAGGAGCTTTACTGAGCTCAACACATGCCCACAATGCCTGACCAATCCTCCTCAGCATTCAGACAATAGAACTTACAAACCACATCTAACACACACACACACACACACACACACACACCACATATAGGGTCATATACACGACACTATATTTTATGTCATCTCATAAATAATAAAAAAAATTAAAAAAAATAAAAACACACACACACACATATATATATATATAAAATCACACACACACTGAGGTTGGGTAAAAGGGACTGGTTGGGAAGGGGTTAACTGCGGGTAGTGAGGGTGGGTGACAGGAGCTGCAGGAGAATATTACTTGCATTACAAGGTGGCAGAGCACATATGGGCTCTAGCTGCAGTGCAGTCTGTGAGCATTCCTTACACTAAATAAGACATGCCTCTATTTACATTAGCTGCAAAAATATGTTTCTTACAGAGACTGGGAATTAGGAACATGTTGAAATGTGAGAGTGGGGTGGCTAACTAGACTGGGTTACACTGCTGAAAACAGCAAAACTACACTGAATTGAAGGAAAAACTAGCCAAATATTTTGAGCTTATTAGCTTTCATTTAAGCTTAACTTGTTTAGCTGCCTGGACTGTCCCTTTAAAAAGGGACACTATAGAAACCAGAACAACCACAGCTTAATGTAGTTCTGGTGTCTACAGCATGTCTCTGCAGGCATTTAAATGTAAACACTGTTTTTACATTACTGCCTAAGGACACTTCCAGTTGCAGTCACTCGTACAGCCAGTAGTGGTACTTCCTGGGTCAATGTCTTTACACTCTGCATGGGGACACTTTACATTCTGCATAGAGACGAATTGATTCAATGCATCTCTATGAAGAGATGCGGATTGGCCAGCGCGGCATTTTGCTGCGCATGCGCAATAGCCTCCTAATGCATTACCATAGGAAATAGGCAGGGATAGTCAGTTTTAATTATCTCAGCCAAGAAGGAGCGGTTCAAGGTGGTACTGGATTAAAAAGGGGAGTTAAAGGGACTCGCCAGTGCCAGGAAAACAATCCTTTTTCCTGGCATTGCAGGTCCCCTCTCCCTCCCACCACCCATCCCTGGTTGATTAAGGGGTGAAAACCCCTTTAGTGACTTACCCGAGACCCCAGCCGATGTCCCTGTGTTTCGGGTTGCCGCCGCTCCTCTTCATTACGTCAGCCGGCGGGGAGACTGATCCCACCCGCCAGCTGAGGAGACCTAATGCGCATGCTCCATAGGATGCTTTTCAATGCTTTCCTATGGGGAATTGAGCGACGCTGGAGGTCCTGACATAGCGTTAGGACGTCCAGCGACGCTATAGCACGGAAAACCTGTGCTATGAACCATGAAGTGCCCTTTAGTAGACAGCCACTAGAGGAAGAGTTAACCCTGCAAGGTAATTATTGTAGTTTATGAAAACTGCAATAAATACAGTTGCAGGGTTAAGGGTAGTGGGAGTTGGCACCCAGTCCACTCCAATTGGCAGAAGTAGTCTGGAGTGTCCCTTTAACTTTCCTTTTACATAGGTTAAACATGGGCTATGGGCCTAAATAGCGATATTACAGCTATAGGGAGAGGAATATTTGTTTGCATTCTTGTCACTCTAGTGTTCCTTTAAGTTACAGCTATGCGGACCAGTGAAATGGTACACAAGCAGGCTCCCACAATGGATCCAGAAAAATCTTAATTAAAAATGTAAAGTAAGTAAGAAGTGTATCTTTAGTCTATACAAAGATCAAGTTCTGTAGGTTACCTGAAAAGGTCCTTGTAATCACCCACACATCTGGGCCACTATCAAAGGAATACCTTCACTAAACAGTATTATTCACCAAGACACCTTTGAGAGAAAAGTCAACAAGACAAAAAAAAAAAAAAAACACAAAGAAAAAACACCCCACACACAAGCCAGAAGCTGGGATATGGATAATGCAGCTCTTGGGATGAAATGGATGTCACATTTAGAGTGGCTAACCAGACCAGAGCTCTAGCAGCAGTATGATCTTCGAAATTTAGGACTCCAAAGGCGATCTACCCTACACACTTGTAACTTTGCAAACTGAGTTATTAACTTATGTAGTGCAATCTTTCCATTACACTTTTCCACTCACAGGTTTTTCGTCACTGTCCTATTTTGGCTTACAATTTTAAATTCACTTTGACTTTCAGCAACTCACACTTAAAAGACCACTATAGGCACCCAGACCACTTCAGCTCAATGAAGTGGTCTGGGTGCCAGCTCCGTCTAGTTTTAACCCTGCAGCTGAAAACAGTATACAGAGTGTTAATCCAGCCTCTAGTGACTGTCTCACTGACAGCTGCTGAAGGCACTTTCGCGATTTTCGCTGAAAAAAAAAAAAAAATTTACAGTGGGAAGACGCTGGACGTCCATTGGAAAGCATTGAGGAATGCCTTCATTCAAGCTCTTTGAAGGTGCGCGCAGGTCTTTCCATGCATGTGCATTTTGATTGGACGTTGGCAGGGAGTGGAGAGTTCCCCAGCACAGAGGGAGCCTGGCGCTGAAGAAAAGCAAGTTGTCCAAGGGGTTTTAACCCCTTCAGCCCAGCGGGAAGGCCCTAATGACTCTATAGTGCCAGGAAAATGTTTGTTTTCCTGGCACTATATAGTGCTCCTTTAAGTAAACACTTCCTGAAGGTATGGAATTTTCATTATTCAAGGGCCAGCAAGTATTATTAGCACAACTATTAAATTTGCACTTTAAAGCACCATACCAGCATGGCAGAGGAAAACTGGTATTCCTAACGATAAAGTGTTCCTTTAAGAGGTTGCATAGTATAATCAATGTAGCAGTTTCACTAACCTAACTATACAAGTTATTTAAGTATACTGAAACCCAACAAAATGTAGTTATATCAGTTTACCATTATACAATTTTGCCTTAATTTAATTTAAACACATTTTATTTTCAAGTGCAATGCATACCTTTTTGACAAATCCATTAACACCCCTGAGAAGAGTCTATTTCCATGCTGAAATGAAACCACCAGTGCATCCTGTATGATGTGATCAAGGGTGACTTGGACATGTGAACCAAGAGATAGGCCATCAATTCCTCCTATGACCAGCATATCAGGGTTTCCTGCAGAAGGGCAGTGGCTTAGGGAGTCATCTGATAGCCTCTGTGGGTGAGTATTAGAGGCAGATTTTCTTGGCTCACCCACACATAAGTCTCTGCCGCCATCACACCTCACAATACTCCTTGAAGTAGTCTGTTCATCTACCAGAATCTCTCCAGTTACAGAGTTAGACTTGGCACCTTTTTCACAAGTAACCTGTTCAAGGTCCCTATAAACAGCATCTCCATTAACCTCTCGAGAGTGAGCCTCTATAGGAATGCAATCTGATGATTCTATGCCAGACTCAGTTTCCATGGTAACCGATGAAGCAACAAGTCCTTCTCTCAGAGGGATTAGTCTAGCATTGCCCAATGAGACGTTATTCTCGTAAATCTTTTCGTGACAAGTTTCAATGTCCATAGAGGCAGATTCACACTCAAGGTCTCTGGTCATTTGTGCAGTTTTTTTGGGTGCCATTGTCGATTTTGATTTTGTATCCCAAGCATGACAAATTTCCTCAGATGTTAGCTTATCCCGTTTGAGAACTGGTTCAATTAACTGTTCAATCATCTCATCAGGTTTGAAACATTTTTCCTTTTGTGAAGAAAAAGGATCACATTGTTCACTTACTTCACCAAAACCTGACTGGAAAATATGATTCTGTGTTGCGACTGGCTTGAGATGGTGATGGATTTCCTCATATTTTTCTAGACACCTCAAACTTAGATTTTTTTCAGAGGCTTGATCAATAACAGTCTCATCTTCCACAAACAAAATTTCAGGTTGTGTGTTTCCATGGACAACACCTGACAAAAGTTCTCCAGTAAGGACAGCAGGCAGTTCAGCCTCCTTTACTGGTTTTAGCACTTGCTTCTCGGATTCTTGTACAGGTATTGCTTGTACAGCCTGATAAATCAGTCCCTCTGTAAGCAGACCTTTCACAGATATTTGTTCCTCAAACGGACTGGTTACCACTGGAATTATCTCTGCGGTGTGTTGGATTTCTCCACAGACTAGCCTATGCAGTTTATCACCATCCTCTGTTAAAGGTTCATGTGGTATAGGTTTCTCTACTACCTCAACATGCTTCTCTAAGATAGGCAACTGTGCTATCTCAGTTGGCTCTTCTGGGCTAAGTATATGTAATACCTCAAACCCCACCTCTGGGACAGACTGTTGATCAATCTCAAAGTTTTGGATAGATTTCTTTTCTACCTCATGCTCTTCATCAATAACAGGAGTCCGCTCTACCTCAAATTCCTCCTCAGTGACATGTGCTTGTACTAGCTTAATCTGCTCCTTGTGGACCAGGGTCTGTGCTATCTCATCTGCTTTCTTTATGACAGGAGCCCATACTAGCCCACCCTCAATCTCTGGTATAGCTTCCTGCACCTCCATTTTTGGTACAGGCACTTCTAACCCAATAGTTTTCTCATGTGCAGGCACTTGTACAGGAGCACTGAGTAGTTCAATCTCGACAGGCAGCCTGGCCAACTCAACATCCTCGACAAGTGTCTTAGCCACCTCAACCCCTTCTTCGTGGGCAGGCGCCCCGGCCACCTCAACCCCTTCTTCGTGGGCAGGCTCCCCAAGTAACTGAACAACTTTCCCCTGGGCAGGTGCAGTGACCAGCTCATCCCCTTCCCCGTGGACAGGCGCCCCGGCCAGCTCATCCCCTTCCCCGTGGACAGGCGCCCCGGCCAGCTCATCCCCTTCCCCGTGGACAGGCGCCCCGGCCAGCTCCACCCCTTCCCCGTGGACAGGCGCCCCGGCCAGCTCCACCCCTTCCCCGTGGACAGGCGCCCCGGCCAGCTCCACCCCATCCCCGTGGACAGGCGCCCCGGCCAGCTCCACCCCATCCCCGTGGACAGGCGCCCCGGCCAGCTCCACCCCTTCCCCGTGGACAGGCGCCCCGGCCAGCTCCACCCCATCCCCGTGGACAGGCGCCCCGGCCAGCTCCACCCCATCCCCGTGGACAGGCGCCCCGGCCAGCTCCACCCCATCCCCGTGGACAGGCGCCGCGGCCAGCTCCACCCCATCCCCGTGGACAGGCGCCGCGGCCAGCTCAACCCCTTCCCCGTGCACAGGCGCCCCAAATAGCTCAACCCCTTCCCCGTGCACAGGCGCCCCAAGTAGCTCAACCCCTTCCCCGTGCACAGGCGCCCCAAGTAGCTCAACCCCTTCCCCGTGGACAGGCGCCCCAAGTAGCTCAACCCCTTCCCCGTGGACAGGCGCCCCAAGTAGCTCAACCCCTTCCCCGTGGACAGGCGCCCCAAGTAGCTCAACCCCTTCCCCGTGGACAGGCGCCCCAAGTAGCTCAACCCCTTCCCCCTCAACCCCTTGACAGGCGCCCCAAATAGCTCAACCCCTTCCCCTGGACAGGCGCCCCAAATAGCTCAACCCTTTCCTCCTGGACAGGCGCCCCAAATAGCTCAACCCTTTCCTCCTGGACAGGCGCCCCAAATAGCTCAACCCCTTCCCCCTGGACAGGCGCCCCAAATAGCTCATCCCCTTCCCCGTGGACAGGCGCCTCAAGTAGCTCAACCCCTTCCCTGTGGACTGGCGCCCCAAATAGCTCAACCTTCTCAGGGACAGACACCTGTACTTCAACTTTATCAGGGACCCAATTTTTCAATGCTCCAAACTTCCCAATGTCTGAGTTACTTATTAGCCCAAACTCCATAAAGGCTTGGCTTGTAACTAGCCTTTCTGTATCTCCTACAAGTCCAACTCCCTCATTAACAGAGTTTTCCATTTGCGAAACCGATTCAAGACTTGGTTTTGTCACCAGCTCCACTGGAACAGGTCCCTCTGTGAAGGGCTCCAAAACAACCTTCATCTGTTCGGTGAATCCCTGGGAACTTTCCTCGCTCTCTTCGGTTAATGATACGGGTCTCATCTCTATATCCTCAGGGGGGTGGCCAGGGAGGCTGTCCAGAGCGCTCTCCTCCTGCATGAATACATTATTTTCTTCCAGCTCCATCCCATCCGGCTCGGCCTGGCCAGGCATGCAGTGCTGTTCCAGTGCCGGAGGCCCAGACTCCCAGCTTTCTCTCCATTGCATAGTTTCCTCCCCAGGGGTCTCCTCCACTTGCTCTTCCTTCGGGGGCCCCATCTCAATGTCTGCAATGCCATCCTCGGTGCGGTCTAGCGGTCTCTCTGCTCCCTCGGGGGTGTCGGCCTCCGGGTGGGTCATGCCAGCCCCACTGGCACCGAGCAGCAGGTCAGGCAGTCCGAGTCCCTGCTCTCCGAGCTGCAGAGCGGCCTGGCTCCCATGCTGAGCCGCACATTGGCTCTCCCAGGCAGAGGGAGCGGGTAACACACTCAGCTCCGGCTCGGACTGCACACACTGCGGCTCCGGCTCGAACAGCCGGCCTTCTCCGGGGATATTCTCACTGTCTGGCTCTGCCGCTTCGCCTCCCTCTCCCGGCCCAGGCGCACCAGCAACGGCCGCCATTTTCTCTTTCGCTTCTCGCCCCCCCTCACACGGGCGAATCGATCCTCAGCCTCCTCGTCCTGAGAGACTGGAACAAGCCCGCCCCCAGGGCATAAACACGCGTTCCGATTGGCCGCACGGCAGCAAGACAAACGTCAGTCACACAGCCACACTCTGAAAACCGCTTTTTGTTGGCTGCCGCAAGTCCCGCCCAGCTGATTTTTTTTCCTGTGTTAAAAAATGAAAGCTAAGCCACCATTGGCTGATGGGTAATGCACTAGCCACGTTCCATTGGTTGATCTACATGCCAATCATTTTGGGAACGTGCAGCGCACAAGGCCATGCTCGTGTCAATCACTCTCCCTCCTGTGGTCTTGTTGCTAGGATACGAACCAACCACCAGTAATAGCACAGCTGTACCGCATGGCCTTGGAGTGATGGCAAACCAGAACTATGTTTGATAATGGTGAATGCTGTGCAGCTAATACAAACATGAGAACTATGCATCTCCTGTGAAAAGCATCTGTTTGTTTTTTTTGCACAACCCAATAGTTAACTAATAGCTATGTAAATATATATATAATGCATGTAATAAAAATCATTAAATAAAAATATTTATACATTTTGCAAAACGCATTCAAACTAAATTATATACTCACACTAAATTACACCCATAATTTACAGAAACCGACACAATGAATTCACACATCCTCAAGCTGACATACATACACTGACTGATATCTCTTCTCCACCAGCTGTAGCTTACATCCTCCTTTAGTGAGGGGGAGTGAGAAAGAAGGGGTAAAGGGGGCTGGTTTCCCTTTAGTGGAGAAAGAGTCCAGGGTGCTGCTGCCCTGGTATTTTGGGGTATGCTGAAAAGCTGTGCAGTGTCATGGACGGACTTTCCTGTTTCTTTTGGACACAGCTGATATCTGGTGGCTGCTTTGAAATGCTCTAACATTAAAATATTTATAGTAATTGAACTATCTCTGTATCCTCCAAGATGTTTGATAAAATAAAGATGTTCTTCAGCGGATTGTATCCAGAATTCCCCAGAGGAGTGGATCATGCCTCCTAAATTTCCCAGGATCATCGATAATATCCTGAATCCGAGGTTTTGTCTCACTGTCCTGGGTTTGTTCCCTAATGTTTCACTATCTATCCTGATACTGGGTTCCCATAAGGGCTATAACTGGAGTTTCCCATATGTGTCAATTTTGAGTATACCCTTTAGTCTCAGGCACCTTCCCTCCAAAAAGCGCTCTCCTGGCGGGTTGCAAAGTGGTCCAAAACCCCGGACCAAGTTGTCCGGAAACCGCATGGCCACCTCATGCCGAAAACAGTTTCAGAACATTCACAGCTAAGTACTGCTGAGGTGACCAGGGGCCCACGAAGTCCTCATGCCAAATTTAGTTCCATAATGATCGCAATACCAGTGAGGACAATTAGTGGGTTTCTTCATGCGAACGTCTGCCAGGGAGCTAGTCAGGGCCGGCCTTAGGGGTGTGCGAGCTGTGCGGCCGAACAGGGCGCCATGGACGAGGGGGGCGCCATGTGGCCAACACAGCTCGCACATGGCCGGATGACAGGAGTGCAGGGGAGCTAAAACAGGTACCCGGGTGGAAGTTTTTATTATTCTCCACCCAGGTCTATAAATTTTTTTATTTTTTTTTAAATCAAGGAAGCGGGGGTGGGGCTTATCGCAAGGCGGGGCTAATATCTACCCGAAGCCCCTGGTAACTGCTGCACAGGAAGAGTGCTTCTTCTCCCCCTTCCAGCCATAATGGAAAGAGGTAAGTCTGTGTGTGTGTGACTGCCTGTGTGTGTGTGTGACTGCCTGCCTGTGTGTGTGTGTGATTGTCTGTCTGACTGCCTGTGTGTGTGTGTGTGTGACTGTCTGACTGCCTGCTTGTGTGTGTCTGCCTGCCTGTGTATGTGACTATCTGCCTGCCTGCCTTTGTGTGAATGTCTGACTGCCTGTGTGTGACTGTTTGCCTGTGTGTGTGTGTGTGACTGTCTGCCTGTGTGTGACTGTCTGTCTGTGTGTGTGACTGTCTTCTTGTGTGTGACTGTCTGCCTGTGTGTGACTCCAATTGTGTGTTTTGCTGTTGCTGTGCCGTTGTGTGCGCCTGTATGTGACTATCTGCCTTTAACTGAGTGTGTGTGTGCCTATCAGCGTGGGTGAGTGTCTGCATGCCTGTAACCGAGTGTGTATGACTGTCTGCTTGTGACTGTGTGTGTGACTTTCTGCCTGTGACTGTGTGCCTGTAACTGTTTGTGATTGTGTGGCTGTAACTGTGTGTGACTGTCTGCGTTTAACTGTGTGTTTGACTCTGTGACTGTCTGCCTGTAATTGAGTATGTGTGGCTGTCTTCCTGTAACTGTGTGTGTGTGACTGTCTGCCTATAATTGAGCGTGTCTGACTGTCTGCTTGTAACTGTTAGTGTGACTGACTGCCGGTGCCTGTGTGTGTGACTGTATACATGCAACTTGGTGGAGGGGTGCTGTGAAGACTTTTCGCACAGGGCGCCTAATAGCCTAAGGCCCGGCCCTGGAGCTAGTTTTCGAATGAAGGGGTGCTGAACCAGGAGCACCCGGGGAAAGCTGCTAATGGCGGATGGGGAGGTTAACTCCTGAACGGCGTCCCCGACCTAGGCCATAGTGGGTGGGCAGGAGGCCAGCTTCCACACTCCTCCAGGACACTCTTCCATGGTAAAGAGCGTTTGTCACAGTGTGAAACATGCCCAGTCTGTAACCTTCCCGTCCTCTGTCACACTAAATGTTATTTTTAAATTTTTGGATATTTAATAAATGCGATTTTACTGCTTGTGTGGACACAGATATTATGGATGTAATATTACATGCAGGAGGTTGAGGTGCTGTGGGGTCCAACTTTTGCTGTGGGGCTTACCTACTAAATGTTTTGCTTTACCAGCAATTCACCCAGCATAGGGAGTACATACAGGCATAGTCCAGGCCAATAACAATTGAAGAGTCTATATCAAACATGGAATTTGTTTCCCCTTAAGCCTTTTCTGTGACAGTTGCATAAACACACTAATTTCATCAGTTTCAGCTTCTTGGACTTGGGGGGGAAATGGTTTTCTGTATGCTGCAGAACTTATAGTAAAGATGTCGGCTTTGTTCAAGTACTATTTCTTCATTCCTATTTTTACATATTAAACGCTATTTTATATCCCTTCTCTTTTCTGTTCTGTGGTCTCCTTTCTACTTATGTGCTTCCCCCGACACATGCACATTACACTCCTAGACACAGAGATACACACTAACAGATACGCACTTTTAGATACACACACCAAGATACATACTGCCAGATACACACATGCACGCATTCAAGAATACTCACTACCTTTTGCACACACAGACACAAATTTTCAAGCACACACAGATACAGACTGCCAGACACACAAATATACACATTGTCAGACACACACATAACAATAAACAATGCAAGACATACAAACACAATACACAGAATCACTCAAGAATGCACACTGCCCGATACGTGCACACTCACACACAACTTGTTTTTTCACACATCTGTTAATAATATTTGTTGGTTGAAATGAACTGCAGAGAATGCACACTACAATTATGGGAAGATTAGCAAAATGGTCTTTCAAGGATGAATATATTATGAATTATAAATGCATGTGCATTGCTCATAGCTAGAATGCATTCAAATGTGTTAGTATTGAAAATAAAGATGTCAACAAATAAATAAGTAAAAAGTGGAACCAAATCCATAACAGTTTTCTGATCAACATGTTTGTAAACAACAAGGATGCAAATGTTTGAAGTACAGGAATAGATTTTGTACAATATCTAAAGCCAAACATGGCAACCATCGTTATCTCAACGTACCCAGATGAACCACGCCCGCACTGCGGTTCTGTGGGGACTGTACTCCATTAAGTCTGCAATTCTTTTCCTCCCCATCCCTTCTCTAGGTACCAAGTGGAGCAAAATACCTGTTGTTTGTGGCCATTCCTTTTTATTTAAAAATGTATATAGTTAAAGCTATATTATTTAACACCAGGGATGTGCAAGAAAATAATTTACTACATGTGCTTATCATCTAAAGTTAGGTACAAATGACATAGAGGCAAAGTGACTCATGAACCTAAGTGGGCATTTGGATAGAGAGTTGGAAACAGGTAGCACTGCTGAGGTGATGTGAGTCACAAAGGAAAATGCCATCAAATAAATTACACAAATTAATGTTAACAACCACTGAGTCTTCTTTGTAGAAAATGAAACAAAAAAAATCTGTCCGGAGACGCTTTGTCACATCAGCCCACATTATTTGGCATATGGGCAACATCACATATTGGTCTGTTTGATTCATGGTTGACACACTCCATGCATGCCGCCACTGGACTACTGTAATTGTTATTAAGATTGATTGAACAGCACACACACAAATGTATACAGGTTTATATCTTACAAGTCTACTTAAAATCACCTTTCTTAGCAAATACATGTGGGGCTTTGGTAACACCATATGTAATTACCATGATAAGCCTACCACTGCATTAAAATACCCCAATATCGATGGATCCTACACTAGTTTTAACATGGAAAGTAAGCATGCTAACTACAATACTTCCTGCTTAAACTGCTTCCAGAGACTCTCTGTAAATGCATACTTTTCTATGGGCACCTCCAAAGGGGTACCTGGAGTAGAGGGGCTGGGTGCTCAACCCAAACGGAATCTGATCTGGATTTCAAATATACACAATACACAAATATTATACATATGCACACTTTTATTTGTCTGACAGGAGACTGTTCTGGTCAGGGGTATTGCAAGGTTCAAGAAGCACCTGTGGTTTGTGCCCAAAAGAAAAGGGAATGATCCATACACTAACAGATAGAAGGGGATATGTCATGACATATCCTTACTTTTCTATATAATGTCCCCTCCTCTCTGCCCATAAACAGTGGCTGCTTCTGTTCTCTGGGATGAAAGTCTAGCTGGAAACAAGCACAAACAGCAC